CTTCGGTCCTTCTGCCTGCTCTGCTCCCCGCTCTGGCTCTGGTGAATTCTCTCACCCTCCCGCGCTTCTGACTGTACCCAGTGCTTGTCTAAATAAATAAATAAATAAATAAATCTTAAAAAAAAAAAAAGAAATTGACCAATCACAACAGGCCACACATTGTATGATTCCACTTAGATGGAATGTCCAGAATAAGCAAATCTATAGAGACAAAAAGTAGATTAGTGGTTGCCAGGGACTGAGTGATAGGGGCAAATGGAATGGGAAATGACTAATAATGGGTACAAGGTTTCTTTTTGGGGGGTGATGAAAGTGGTGATGGTTGTACAACCTTGCAACTATACTAAACACTGAAAAGTACCCTTAAAAAGGGTTAATTCCACCATGAGGGTTGCAAGGCCTGAGTTGGATCACAGGCCTGGGAGCTACCCACATGGCACAGCAGACCTCTCCTGTCTCACCCACTGCTCCCCTCAGCAGTGTATTTCAGTCAGTCCGCCTGTTCTGCTCCCCACTCTGTCTCTGGTGAATCCTCTCACCACCACCACCACCTCTGGCCTGCACCCCAGCTCTTGTATGCATAAATAAATAAAATAAATCTTAAAAAAAAGAATGAATTAATGAACTAATGAACAACCTGAGTGGATGTCACAGACATATGTTAAACAGAAGGAGTACATACCTCCATTTATATGAAGTTCACACACACAAACAGGCTCAAAACCCTAGTATTGTATGTTATTTATGGGCATATACATATGTGGGCACATACATAGTAATGTAAAAAAAATCCTCCTGTGGAAGATAAACACCAAACTCAAGGTAGTGGAAGGAGAAGGGGAAATGAAATTGGTGCAAGGACTTCAACTCTATCTGTAACATTACATTTCTTTTAAAAAAGGATATAAAAGCAAAATAGTAACATTTGACAAAGGTGAATGCTTGTTATAGTACTCTTTACACTTCTTTCTTTAAAAAAACAAAATACTTTTTTTCTAGGACTAGAAACTGACTTTATTTATTCATTCATTTATTTTTATTTTTTAAGATTTATTTATGCATACAAGAACTGGGGTGTAGGCCAGAGGTGCTGGAGGGTGAGAGGATTCACCAGAGACAGTGGGGAACAGAACAGGCAGATCTCCTGAAATCCACTGCTGAGGGGAGCAGTGGGTGAGACAGGAAAGGTCTGCTGCGCCTTGTGGGTCAGCTCACTGGCTTGTACTCGAACTCTTGCTGTGGTGGCTGGCAATAGCTTGATAGCGCCATGCCTTTAACACCTGTGCCACCAGGGAAGCCCTATTTATTTATTTATTTGTTTGTTTGTTTTTAAAGATTTATTTTATTTATGCATATAAGAACTAGGGTACAGGCCAGAGATGTGGGGGGGCGAGAAGATTCACCAGAGAGAGAGGGGAGCAGAACAGGTGGATCAACTGAAATACACTGCTGAGAGGAGCAGAGAGCGAGACAGGAGAGGTCTGCAGCACCATGTGGATAGCCCTGTCATTAACCCCTGCGGCACCAGAAAGGCCCCTATTTATTTATGTTTAACCATCTTTTTATATCCTTGTTAGTATTTTGTCCCTTCAGGTGTGGTTACTGAGACTCCCCCACTGCCAAAACACTTTTAGTCCTCCACCATAGTCCCTGGTGCTCTCCCCTCTTCTTACTCCAACCACTTCCCCTAAAAAAAAAAAAGTACTTTGGTTCTGAGGTAAATGTATGAGTCCTTAGCAGTGTTTGGCTGACGATCCCTCAGTGCTGTTGTCATGGAGGGGAAGCTCCATCCCGCACAGGGGCATTCCACAGTCTGGAAAAAGCATGATTTATCTGAATGCCATGCATCTGGACCAAGCTCTAGAACCCCAGAAGACGCCAGGAGGAAGGGATCCAGTCATAGAAAGCTTCCAGAGAGAGAGGACATTGGGATGGAGTCTCAAACGGAGACTTGACAGGACACTTGGCCTGGAAACCCTGCCCCCACCCATTCTCCACCCCCGCCCTCCTTGAGTCCCCCCCCAAAGCCTGGCCTGGCCCCTCTGATTCCCTTATCTGCCCACTCCCAGCTGCCTCCCTGCTGGCTGAACTGTCCCCACAGACTTCTGGACCTGTGCCCCCTCCACTGGGATGGGGGAGGGAATAGGGTGAGGCCTGGCTTCAAAGCCTCAGGGTTTCTGGCTCTTGATGGAGGCAGGACTGTGAGGCCCCCACTCTCCACCCTTTACTTCCCTTCCTGAGCCCCTTCTCTGCTCCAGTTAGGAAGAAATTGACTGAGTCCAGTATTCAAACCCTTGTCTGAGCCAGGCCTCCAGCCTGCCCTTCCCAGAGAGGGCAGATTTCTCTACCTCACCCACAGCATCGAGGCTGCTGTTCTAACGGTAATAACTAGGAAGCTACTATTACAGAGCTCACCATTTATGGTGTGTCAGGCAGGCCCTATGTTGAGTGGTTACATTCAATGTACTTTCTAACAATTGTACCCATTTTCCAGACAAAGAAACTGAGGCTCAGGAATCACACAGTAAATCAATGTCAGACCTGAGAAAAGAACCCAGGACCTTAGGTGAACATCTTGATTTCTCTGGAGGACACACACTTACACAAGGACCCAGCGAAGGTTATGTGTGGTCAGCCCTTAGCATAGTGCCTGGGGGCGCTGGGCAAACAGTGCTGCTGTTGTCCTTAGTATATCAGTGCTATGAAATGTACTAGTATCAGAATTAGTGTTATTCTCCTTAATGTTGATAGAATGAATAATTAGTAGGTTTAGAAATAGTGGTAATATTAGCATTAGATTAGAATTAGTACTACTATCACTATTAAAATTAATATTAGAGTTAGTATTAGTTTTGGTGTCAGCACATTATTATAGCATTAGTACTAGAATTAGTGCTACTACAATTAGAATTGTAGTAAGAAAGTTCCGACAGCTATCCCCCGCATGCAGTAGGTACTCAGTACATAAATAAGATTACTTAAATTTATCGGGATTTCAGACTCAAGTGAGTTCAAACCATCTCACAGATTAAATTTCATTTAGTGGCCCCAACCACCCTATGGAGTAGGCACTATTACTAGCCTGTCTTTCCAGTTGGGGGACTGTGGTCCAGAGGGGACAGATAGTGGCCCAAGGACACACGGTCATTCAGTGGCTAGGGAAGTCTGTGAGGGTGGATGAGCTCCCAAGTGGATTCCTGAAACACCCCCCCCACTTAAGTCCCAGTGGGCTTTGTCCTGGGTTTTGTTGATGAGGGCTCAGAGGGCGCAGCAGACAGCGAGAGCTCAGTAAACTAGAAAGCAAGGGCTTGCTCTTTCCTCCTCAAACCCCCAATTTTGCATATGAGAACACTGAGGCCCAGAGGGGAAGTGAGGATGGTAAATTTCCTCTGGGGCGGCCAGTGAGCAGAACCCATTGACCCAGGGCTTCATCCTTGCCCTCTGCCTCAGTAGGTCTCAGTGGGTGGCTCAGAGTGCCCTGTTCTGTGGAATGTCCTATGACTGGGCAGTCTCACCCCCTGATCCGTGGAGGCCCAAGTTGGGCACATACCGTGTGTACGTGTGTCTGATTTTACATGGAGAAAGTGCTCAGAACAGGCCGAGCACAGATCCATGTCAGTGTGAGACACTGGTTGCTGTCAGTGTTGTTAGTATTTTGAGGGGGAGGTAGGACAGGGCAGGAAGGTGGGGACTGAGGTGCTGAGGCCCAGTGACTCTGGGGGTTCCTCTCAGAGGGTTGAGGGCAGAGCCACATTCCCCATTCTACCTGCCACCTGCTGGGGCTTACCCAGGCTGCCCCCTGGGGTCTCAGGGGCTCTCCCTCAGACTGGGTCTCAATAGCTCTCTGTCTCTCTCCCTCCTCTACAACATTGTCTTTGTCTCCCTTCTCAGTCCCTCACCCGTGTCCTTGGTCTCTGGCACTTTCAGGATTTATCTTTGGCTGTGTCTCCACCTGCCTCTTATTCTCTCTTTGCCTGTCTGTCTTTGCCTGTCTCTGGTTCTCTCTGTGTCTCTCCCCCTCTGACTCTCCTTTCTTTCTGTGCTCTCTCTCTGCATCTGCCCAGCTCTCTGTCTTTTTCTCCACCTCTGTCACTCACTGTTTTTCCCCATTTCCATTTCTGTCTCTGTTTCTGTCTCCCTTCCCTTCTCCCTTCTCTATCCTTTCAGTCCTGCTTCCCTTCTCCCACCCTATCCCACTCCTCCAGGACCCGCAGAGGAACCAAGCCTTGGTTCCACCTGTTTCCCGCCTCCAAAGCAGCATGGCGGGCAAGAAGTTGAGGTCGCTGTCCCTGGGTGCCCCCCAAGCCCCGCCCCCCATCCCAAGACAGCCTGTTACCGCGGAGCTAACAGCCACGGTGGCCTCCATCTGATAAGACTTATCTGCTGCCCCAGGGCAGGCCGGAGCTGGCGTAAGCCCCAGTGGGGCGCTGAGTGAGTGTGCCCCTGCCTCCCGCCAGTCCTGGCCTGGCCCCCAGGTTGGGCCTGGGTCAGCAAGATGTCCCATAGGCTCTGGCTCACAGACCACTGAATTAGGCCCCTGGGAACCTCATTCTTCTGCCTGCAAGATGGTGCAAGTCACATCCCTCCTCCTCCTGCAGCCAGGGCCCTCATATACACAAGGGCCCAGTGGGCACCTGGCCCAGCACACAGGGGGCTTCACACTCACTCACTCTAAGCTCTGTGGAGTCAAGAAACTGAATCTGCTGTTTTCATTTCATCTTGGCTTCAGTCCATTTTGCTTGGCTGGACACTGAAGTCCAAGTCTAACAGGGTCCAAGAACCTGTGGGGGAGGGCAAGTGGGGTGGAGGAAGGCCCCCAATGCCCAAAGGGTGCCCCACCAGCAGGGGCCTGCCCCCTCCCCTAGCCCGCCCCACCCACTGGGGCATCAGCCACTCCCTGGGGAGGAGGGAGGAGGGAGAGGGGAGGGAGAGAAGGAGGAAGGGAGCCTCAAAGGCCAAGGCCAGCCAGGACACCCCCTGGGATCACACTGAGCTCGCCACATCCCCAAAGCGGCTGAACCATCTGCACCAACCAGCTCAGGTCAGTCTCAGCCCTCCCCTCAAAAGCCCCCAACAAGGCAAACTCTGGGCCTGCTACCCCTTACCCAAGGCTACTGCCGCAATCCACCACTGGCCCCCAAAGTGTCTACCACCCCGAATTCCTTCACAGCTCCTCCAGATCACCTCTGACTTTCCAACCTTCATCTCTACTCTAAATCTACCCCTCAAATCCACCTCTCTGCCCTGATTCCTATCCATTCCTCCCAAGAAATCGCTGTTCCACTGATCTCTAAATACTGCTCCGTATCCCAACTGGGCCCCCTAAACCATGTCTTCATCCTCCCAAATCCTGCTTCTGCCCCAATCTGATTTTAGTTACCCAAAGTTGTCTTTGAGTTCTCCCCAAAAGTTCACTTTTGCTCCCCTATGCCTATTTCTGCTTCCTAACCCCTTGTCTGCCCTACAATATCCTTGTTTCTGTCCCAAATTCTCTCTTTGACCCCCTAACCTGTCTCTGGGCTACCACACTCTAGCTCCATCCTCCCCCATATTAAACCCTGCTATTTGTTTCCTCTGCCTTTTCTCTCATTTCCCAAAACACCTCTCCCCCAGCCCCTTGCCCGCACACCAAAGTATCTTTGTCACTCAGAACACCAAAATCTGTTCTGCCACATGAATTCTTGTGTCTGCCTTCCCTAAACCTCATCTCAACCCCCAAATGTCTCTGTCTCCATAGATCTCTCTGGCCCCCAAACTTTCTCTATTCCAGTTCCATCTTGGTCCTCAAATGCCTCCTGTGTGAACCCATCTCAAATCATCAGAAACATTTCTGCCTGTCCAAACCCACCTCTGCCTGTCCAAACCCACCTCTGACCCCTAACTCCAGTTCCACCTCAGCAGAACCTTTGCCCCCCAAACTTTTTCATGAGCCTCAGAATCCATCTGTCACCCCCAAACCACTTTCCAACTTTTCAACTTCACCTCTTACTCTCAAAGTTCACTTCTGATCCCCAACCTTGTCTCTGCTTTCCCATCCCATTTCTGTTCCCCAAATGTGATCTTTCAAGATTGTTTCTGCTCATGAAACTGTACATGCTTTCTTCACACTCATAGCTGTACCCCAAATCTGCCCCTGACTCCTCAAGCCCATATCTGACTCTCAAACCCTCCCAAGACTCATATGCTCCCAGACCCCAACTCTGCTACCTTCAGTCCCCAGGGACCCTCCCTTGAGGGCTGGGACCTGGACATTACCTGGGGTGAGGGGCTGGGCCGAGGGAGAGTGGAGGGTGCCGGCCAGCTGCCTGCCACCATTGGGGCAGCACTTACTCTAGTGGGGCAGCTGATAAGGAGCCTTCATATCCCCCAGCCTCGAGATAAACTTTATCTCTGTCCGGAGAGTGATAACTGGGGGGGAGGGGGGCTGGGCCCCTGCCATGGGAAGGGTGGGCAGCCCTGGACCCGCTAAGGTGTCAGGTGAAGAATGGGGAGCAGTAGGGCCTGAGGAAGATTATGGAGAGTGGGGTGCGGATGAAGAGACAAGGGAATATAGAGATGAAAAGAGCAAGAGACACACAGAGACAGAGGAAGGGAGGGAGAAACAGATGAGTAGAAACACAAACAGCAAGCAACAGCGACAGGGGAGAGAAAGGAAAAGCAGAAAAAAACTCAAAGAAAGAATAAGAGACAGCAAGAGAGGGAGACCCAGGAGCAGAAGAGGGAGACAGGAAGGCAGAGATTCCCAGGATGTGGGGAGACCAGGGAAAAGAGATGGAGGCGAGACCCCCTCACGAGGAGAGAGAGCGGGGGACCCTGGGCCCAGAGCACTAGGTGGCGGGCACGTACACAGGCCCACCTCCTCCCCAGCACCAGCCCCAAGCCCAGGCCCAGTCCTTAGCCTGTCCACACAACGGGTCACCTAGGCGGGGTTCTGAAGGTGGCCCTTCTACTCTTTCTCCGTCACTCCATCCTGCCAACAGGGAAGCTGGGGCAGCGGCAGGCTTCCGGGGACCCCTGAGGCTGTGTGCAGTGGGGTGTGGTCAGGGATGTGGGAACAGGCGGCCATGGAAATCCGGGCAGAAGGCCGAGAGGTAGAGGGAAGAGACGAGCAGGAGAGATGTAGAGATTCAGAGAGCTGTGAGTGGAAAGGGAGACGGGAAACAGAAGTAGATTCAGAGAAAGCTAAGAGAGAGAGACGAAAAATAGAAGAGAACTAAAGGTGAAGAGAGACATGGGGAAACAAAGAAGGGGGGAGATAATTAGACATTCATGAAGCAGAGGAAGAGAGGGAAGGTAAGACGTGCTGCGACGACGCAGAAAGCCAGGAGAGCACCAGAACCACGCTCAAGGAAAAATGGTGTCAGGATGTGTCAGAGACAGAAAGTCACGAAGGGAAGGGCAGAGGCAAAGTGACAGAGGCGGTGCCACCATCTCATGGGTCTTAGCTTGGCCCTGTTTCCACCCTATCTGGCAGATGGAGAAACTGAGGCTCCAGGGGATGGTGGGGACTGAAAGAACCCGAAAGCAGAACTCTAGCAGACCTCCGGGGGAGAGGGAACACCTCCCACCTGTCCCCCTCCTCAGAGGAAGCCAGTGGCCTTGGGGTGATTTCAAAAGTTGGGCGGGGATGGCAAAGATAAGCAGTGGGGGGTACTGACCCCCCTCCATGGAGCAGGGAGGAACTAAGAGGGCTCTGTGTCTGTAGACCCAACGGAGGTGGGGGAGGAGGGTCAAGCCGGAAACCATGGGGTTTCTGAGAAAGTGAGAAGGGAAGATAGACAGATAGGGATGAAGTTGGGGAGCACAGGAGGGTGAACCCCAATGTCCAGGGGACGGACCAAGGGGTTCAGGGATTCTGGTTCTTCACCCCAGCCCACCCCACCAGACTTCCAGAAGGAAAAGGAAGGGTGGGGAAGATCTGGGAGAGGGACGCCAAAATGAGGAGATGGAGGGAGATGAGCAGAAAAGGGGAGCAGGGAATGAAGGAAAAGGAAGCAGAGGAAGAGGGGGAAGAGGAGAAGAAGGAAGGGAAGTGGAGTGGGCGGAGTGAAAAGAAGAGGCAGGAGGAGAAGAAGGGAAGAGGAGAGGGAATGGAAGGCAGCGGAAGTGGAGAGGTAGACAGACATGACAGACTGGGGCAAGGAGGGCAGGACGGGAGTAGCGCATGGAGTAGAAGATAAGGGGGAGGTGAGGGAGGAATGGGAAGTGAGGGAGGATGAGGAGCAGGAGGCGCTTGGAGTGTGGAAAGAAGGGATGTAGAAAGGGAAGGCTGGGGTGGCAGGAGGGAGAAAGGGGGAAGAAATGGGGTAGAGGGGAGGGGGACAGTATTGTCCATGACTAAGGATCCCTCCTGTCCTCACAGATCAAACTCCAGAGGCCCCATGGAATTCCCTGGCCTGGGGGCCATGGGGACCTCTGAGTCCCTGCCCCAGTTTGTGGATCCTGCCCTGGTGCCCTCACCACCAGAGTCTGGGGTCTTCTTCCCCTCTGGGCCTGAGGGCTTGGATGCAGCCGCCTCCTCCACTGCCCCGAGCACGGCCACTGCTGCAGCGGCTGCACTGGCCTACTACAGGGATGCTGAGGCCTACAGACACTCCCCAGGTAACCCCTTTGGGTGTCTGTCTTGGCACCGACTCCATGCTGTTGGGAATGTCGTGGTGACCCTTAGCTAAGGCAGATTCCCAGTGAAAATGGCTGGAAGCCTTCACATGTCTGTGCTGACCACTTTCCCTGTGAAGTCCAGACCTGGGAACGCCAATGCTCTCCAACCTGCCACATTAAAACAGCCATACTGGAAGTAGGTGGTGGTGGCCCTAGTTGTCAAGTGATCCATGGGGCTTCATATCCCAACAGTCATCCTCCAAGTCCATTTGGAAATGGTTGGAGGTCACTGCAGCTGTCAGAGTGGGGTTCAGGGTCCAAGAGAGTCCCCCAGTGGCCAGCAGCAGCTGCTCCAGACACATAGAAAGATTGGAAACCTGGCCACCATGCTGGGACTGTTGGGCGCCACTGCACCCTGCAAACAGGATGGCTTTAGACTGTTATTTCCTCTCCTTTCTTCCTTCCTTCCCATACCACCCCCATAGTCTTCCAGGTGTACCCACTGCTCAACTGTATGGAGGGGATCTCAGGGGGCTCACCATATGCCAGCTGGGCCTACGGCAAGACTGGGCTCTACCCTGCCTCAACTGTGTGCCCCACCCGCGAGGACTCCCCTCCCCAGGTTCCAGAAGATCCTGACGGGAAAGGCAGCAGCAGCTTTCTGGAAACCTTAAAGACAGAGCGGCTGAGTCCAGACCTCTTGACATTGGGGCCTGCACTGCCGTCATCAATCCCTGTCCCGAGCAGTGCCTATGGGAGCCCCGAATTTTCCAGTACCTTCTTTTCTCCCACTGGGAGCCCACTCAATCCAGCAACCTATTCTTCCCCCAAGCTTCGTGGAACCCTGCCCCTGACGTCCTTTGGTGAGGTTCCCCAAAAAAGAGAGGTGGGGGTGGGGATGAGTCCAAGGCAAAGCTGAGCTAAGCCTGGCTCTCCACTCCCCTCTGTCCACCCCACCAGAGGCCAGGGAGTGTGTGAACTGTGGAGCAACAGCCACGCCGCTGTGGCGGAGGGACAGGACGGGCCACTACCTGTGCAATGCCTGTGGCCTCTATCACAAGATGAATGGGCAGAACAGGCCCCTCATCCGGCCCAAGAAGCGCCTGGTAAGAGCACAGGCCTGCCTTTTCTTCCCTAGGAACTGCTGTTCTCATCCATGCAGGGAGCCCTGTCCTCATGGGCTACAGGAACCCCCTCCTCCTCCCTGTCCATATCAGAACCCGGCTATGTACGGACCGCCTTTCCGTAAGCTGCAAGCTGTCTCTCCCAGCACAGCAGTGTTTCGGGCCTCAGCTCCACTCACTCCAGGATCGCCTTTGGGCACTTGGAAACCACTGGGACCTGGGGCCCTCTCCTACATGTGTTGGTTTAATTGGCCTAGGGCGCAGGCTGGACATCATTTTTTTTAACTCCCCAAGTGATTCCAACGTTTGGTCAAAGTTGAAAACCACAGACGTCATCCCCCACACAATGCTCCAAACCCCCACCCCAGACTAGAGACCCTGTCCTTGCCCTGTCCAGGAAGTCCCACCTTCAATCTGACCTTCACCTCTGTGTCCTCCACCCCCAGTGTGCTGATCCTCACATTCTCTCTCCCCCCAGATTGTCAGCAAAAGGGCAGGTACCCAATGCACCAACTGCCAGACAACCACCACAACGCTGTGGCGGAGAAACGCCAGCGGGGATCCTGTGTGCAACGCCTGCGGCCTCTACTACAAACTACACCAGGTGCTGCCCTGCCCCTTGTAGTCTCCCTCCTCTCCCGGGACCACTGAGTCGCCCTCCTCCCCAGCTCCCGCTCCACCCTCCCTCTCTTCTCCTTCCTCTTCTCCCATCTTCCTTCTCTGCCTGCTCCTCCCACTTCCCTTCCTTCACCTTCCTTTCCTCCTCCCCCTGTCATTCTCCTCCCTCCTCCCTTCTGCAGTCCTCCTTCACCCTCCTCTCTCCCTGCCACTCTCTCCTTTCTTATTCCCCCCTTATGCTCCCTTCTCCCTCCGCCCTCCTCCATCTCCAATCTCCTTCTGCCTCCCTCCAGTCATCAGTTAACTTCTACTCCCCTGCCTTAGACCTAGGGCAGCCCCTATTAGCTTCAGAGACCTTCCCAGGGCAGGGCGTAGGACCTCGGAGCTCCATACTGGCTGCTTGCCCCCGCTTCCCCCCACCCACCCGAGTCTGAGCCCTTGAACAATTCCTTATTCTTAGAAAGTGGGATGGAGAGGGCATCCCGGTCCCGGGCTAGTCACAGAGGCAAGGGAATGGAGTTGCGAAACGCCTATGGCCTCCTTTTTGGCAGGTAAACCGGCCACTGACCATGCGAAAGGATGGTATTCAGACTCGAAACCGCAAGGCATCTGGAAAAGGGAAAAAGAAACGGGGGTCAAGCCTGGGAAGTACAGGACCAGCAGAAGGATCAGCTGGCGGCTTCATGGTGGTGGCTGGGGGTAGTAATAGTGGGAATTGTGGGGAGGTGGCCTCAGGTTTGACACTGGGCCCATCCGGTACTGCCCATCTCTACCAAGGCCTGGGTCCTGTGGTGCTGTCGGGGCCTGTCAGCCATCTCATGCCTTTCCCAGGACCCCTGTTGGGCTCCCCCTCGGCCTCCTTCCCCACAGGCCCTGTGCCTCCCACCACCACCACCACCACCACCACCGTGGTGGCTCCACTCAGCTCCTGAGGGCACAGAGCATGGTCTCAGGGGCAGATGGGGAGCCGCACCTCCCCTCTAGTCATCAGTCTGTGCAACCCGACCCTCTGGGCCCCAGACACTCCCTGGCCTGGGCTGTCTTAAGTTTTTGTAAAATAAAACCATCAGAGTCCTGAAATTGGAGGTGCGAGTTTGTGTGGGACTAAATAAAGAGCAGCGGTAGGTGGGGTGTGGATCCATGTCCGTGGCTCTTTCATGAAAGCTTACAGCACTGTGAGAGCCCACGTGACGCTTCATGACCGTTCCAGTGTGTGATCGCGGGCCCAGTACGCTTCCGCTGCACCGCTCTGCTGGCCGGCATGGTGTGTGACTGTAACAGCATACATGAAACTGTGTGTGACAGCGTCTAGGTTGTATGAGATGGCATGTGACTCCATGCTGTGTGACTGTTGGTGCCAATGTGTGTGCTGCACCTCTGTGACGCTCAGAGTCAGGCTGGGTGAGAGCGCCTGAGTGACACAGGTGACTGTAAGTGACAGGGCATGGGTGCTTGTATGAGAGGAGGTGGAAATGTGTGCCACAGTGTGTCAAAGAAACACAAGGGGTTGTGTTTATGTGCCGCTGAGGGTGATCTGAGACAGTGGGACATGTGTACTGGGCAATAAACATTTGTGGAATGGTAAGCAAGGACCGTGTGTGCTGTGTGTGGAGGCGTGACAGTGGGTCAGTGGTGTGTCAGGGTGCCTGTGGGTCTGGTAATGGCAGCGTTTCTGTGCAATTCGGGGTTCATGTGAGTGGATCACACAGACAGTGCCACATCACAGTGTCTCTGAGTGGCTGACAATGTGCGTCACTCTGTGTATACTTGTTTGTGGAGGTAACAACATGCATAGTTTCAGTCAGCGTATGTTAGAGACCCCTCCCAAGGCATAAAAACATGTTCAGGGTAGGAAAGGGAGAAAGGGGCTGGCATGGTGGCTGTCAAGAAGGTCAGAAGGCCATTGTGGCACTGTGGGGTTGCCCATGGGCCTTCCTGTCACTCATCTCTTATCTCTCTCAGCCCAGCTCGGCCTGCAGCCCTGTGGGAAATGGTAGAGAAGGAGGGGAGGAGATTAGGACAAAATAGACTCTAGGGGTGATATTTAGATCTGGTAGATGCGGCTCCCCACAGTATTAATTCCCTTCCCAACACAACTACTCACTCACCTGGGCAAACTGCTCCCCACTAAAGGGGGATCTATTCTTCCATTAACAAACCCTTACCCAAGAGCGTGTGCTGAGTCACGTGATATCCTGGGCCACACAGGTGAAGTGGCTTACCTGGGGCCACACAGCTGGTGACACAGGCGTGCCAGGCTCTGTGACTTAGCTGCCATAATACCCAGCAGCTTCTACAGTCAGCAGCACCATTTACTAAGTGTTCACTGTGGGTCATCAACAGCTGGGAGGCCTCAGTTGCTTTAGTTCATAAACACCTGAAGGAAAATACGAGGAAGGACAGTCATATGTCCCTTAATGAACAAGGGTGAGAAATGCAGCTTTGGGTGACTTCCTCATTGAGCAAACATCATAGAATGTGATTACACAAACCTAGCTAGTGTAGCCTACCACACACCTAGGCTGTAAGGTACAGCCCATTGGGCCCACTGCCATCTGTGTCATCAACTGAAACATCGTTAAGCGACACATGGCTGTATACTCCTAACTACACACTTCGCTCAGGAAAAGTGTAACTCAGGACTGATGAACTTGTCCTGACCACACTGAGTTTAAGGAGTGGACTGTGGATGGGGTGCCCCCTCCCCAAGTGAGTCTTGCTCACAAATGGGCTGCTTTTCTCTTTATGGCTTCTCCCCTCCTTCAGGCCCGCCACACATTCTGAACACAGTGTGGAGAAGCAGCTGTCCTCAAAAGAACAGCAGCCTGCCAGCTGGCTGCCCTGCTAGCCCACTGCAGAGTCACAGAAATCTCTCACCACAGGGCTCTCCAGAACTGCCTTGGTCCTGAACCCCTGTCCTTGTCTTCAACTGGAAGCCTCTCAGAGCCAGGTGCTGGGAACGCACCTGACCCTGCCTAGTTCAGGAACCCCAGTCTTCACCCTGTGTAAGAACAGCTGCCCTCACCTTCATTTGAAGAGGAGACTTTCTCTGATTAGCAGGAAAGGTGCCCTGACCCTGGACGGGAATGCCAGCCCTCAGCTTACATGGAAGGAAGCCCTGCCTCTTAGGGCACAGCCACTACCCCTTTACCCCCGCTTAGGAATCTCTGAACTTACACTGTAAGGAAGCCCCTGCACTCCCCCTTACAGAACACCTGTCCTGACCCTGTCTCTGAAGGAATCATGTCTTTTTCTTTTTTTTTTCTTTTTTTTAATTTATGATTTATTTATTTGTTTGTTTGTTTGTTTGTTTTTGTTTGTTTATACATGCACTAGGTACAGGGCCTCCCCTGATGGCACAGCGGTTGAGCGCTAGGCTGCGAGGCTGCCAGCAGCCTCTGCAGCACCGGTTCGCTCCCCAGCCGCCGGCGAGGGTCCCACAAAATAAATAAATAAATAAATAATGATTACTTAAAAAAAAAAAAAAGATTTTCCCATGCACTGGGTACAGTCAGAAGCACGGGAGGGTGAGAGAATTCACCAGAGCCAGAGCAGGGAGCAGAGCAGGCAGAAGGACTGAAGTACACTGCTGAGGGGAGCAGCGGGCAGCAGGAGAGGTCTGTGCGCTATGTGGGACCCTCCTCTGGTGGCCGGGGAGCAGCCGGGGATTGAACCGGCGCTGCAGAGGCTGCGGGCAGCTTTGCAACCCAGTGCTCAACCGCTGTGCCACCGGGGAGGACCTGGAGGAATCATGTCTTGACCTTGGACAGGTTACCTCTGTCTTCACATTGTTCTGCAGCCCTGCCCCCCAGGGAGCACATTAGGAACACTTCACTCCCAGTAACAGCTAGTTCTGAACCAGGGACTTGGCTCTCTCGCTCCAGAAATCCCCATCTTCAGCCTCTCCTGGAACCCAGATTAAGTGGAGAAGCCCTGGCCTTCTTTGTTTACAATGACCTCTGACATCCCTCTGCATAACACCTGATCTCTCCCCAGGAGCCAACTCTCTATACGAACCTCAGTCTTGAACATACACAGAAAACCCTTGTCTGACCCTGTGGCAGGAAAGCCCAGCATTGTACAGGACTCCCCATCCTCATGCTTTGTTAGCTCCACTGCCCTGACCCTCTACAGGAAGCCCGGCCTACGACTGTACTAGAAACTGACTGTACTCTCTGTAGAAAGCCTTTTCCTGACTCAACAGAAATTAACTTGATGCATTTACAGGACGCTGACCTAAATTTGCTCTCAAAAAGCTCTCCTTATGCTGCATGGGAAGCCCTGATGTGACTCTCTATGACATCCTTGCCCTGGTCTTGTCCCAGAAGTACAGAAGAGCCACTGTCCTGATCCAACAGAAGAAACACTAACCTGAACTTCTGCAGGAAAGTGTCCTTCCTCAATATGTCCTGATCCTGCTAGGGATCACATTCTGAGTCCCAGCTGGAAGTTGTTTTTTTTTTTTTTTTTAATTATTTATTTATGCATAAAAGAGCTGGGGTGTAGGCCAGAGGTGGTAGGGGGGGTGAGAGGATTCACCAGAGACAGAGTGAGTAGCAGAACAGGCAGACTGACTGAAATACACTGCTGAGGGGAGCAGTGGGCAAGACAGGAGAGGTCTGCTGCACCATGTGGGTCAGCTCCCTGACCGGGCATGGAACTCGTGCTACAGTGGCTGTGAATAGATTCACAGTGCTGAGATTTAAGCCCTTGAGCCACCAGGGAGGCCCCCCTGCAGGAAGTTCTGACCTGAGCTGGTATAGAAAACCCTGCTCTTAATACTCAATAGGAACCTTTGGCTCTTGAGAGGTTTCCAAGAAGTGAACCAGTATAAAAACACCTGCACTGCATAGGAACCTCTGTCTTACCCTTGTTAAGTAACCCATAGCCCGAATCAACATGACCACCTGTCCCAAACCTCACTTGATCTGTCGTCTCCAGGAATTTAGCTCTAATCCCAATCAGAAATCCTGGGCCTCCGGGCCTTCCCAGTGGTACAGCGGTTGAGCGCTGGGTTGCGAAGCTGCCCGCAGCCTCTGCAGCACCAGTTTGATCCCCACCGCCAGGGGAGGGTCCCACATGGCACGCAGACCTCTCCTGCCGCCCTCTGCTCCCCTCAGCAGTGTACTTCGTCAGTCTGCCTGCTCTGCTCCCCGCTCTGGCTCTGGTGAATTCTCTCACCCTCCCGTGCTTCTGACTGTACCCAGTGCTTGTATAAATAAATAAATAAATCCCCAAAAAAAAGTTAAAAAAAAAAAAAAAACAAAGAAATCCCGGGCTTGAGTATGACTCTCTACAGAAAACCGTTTTTCTGGCTGCTAAAGGAATACCTAATCTTAACCTTCACAGGAAAAAAAAAATGCCTTCACACCCTTCCCTCTCACTCTACAGTATCTCTACTCCTCATCTTTTCCTACAAACCTGCCTTATCAACAGATTCTTTCTCTTGGCCCCTGACAGAAAACACTAACTTGACTCTATAGACATGCCTACCCCCACACAAGAACTTTAAAGAGAATCCTCTATGACAACACTGTCCGATAGAAATATAATATGGGGGTCTCCCTGATGGCACGTGGAGTTAAGTGTCAGCATTATGAAGCAATCCGCAGCCTCTGTAGCACATGTTCGATCCCTGGCTAGGGAGCTAACCCACATGGCACAGCAGACCTCTCCTGTCTCTCTCGCTGCTCCCCTCAGCAGTGTGTTTCAGTAGATCCACCTGTTCTGCTCCCTCCTCTGTCTCTGGTGAAACCTCTCACCCCCATACCTCTGGCCTACACCCCAGTTCTTGTATGCATAAATAAATAAAATAAATCTTGGGCCTCCCCGGTGGCGCAGCGGTTGAGCACTGGGTTGCGAAGCTGCCCGCAGCCTCTGCAGCGCCGGTTCAATCCCCGGCTGCTCCCTGGCCACGTAGGAGGGTCCCGCATGCTGCGCAGACCTCTCCTGCCGCCCGCTGCTCCCCTCAGCAGTGTACTTTGGTCCTTCTGCCTGCTCTGCCTCTGGTGAATTCTCTCACCCTCCCGCGCTTCTGATTGTACCCAGTGCTTGTATAAATAAATAAATCTTAAAAAAAGAGAAAAGAACAAGGATTCTGTGTCTTCTACAAAACTAAACAAAAATTTAAATAAATAAATAAAATAAATCTGGAAAAAAAAAAGAAATATGAGTCACATGTGTAATTCTAAATTTTCACATGGATGCATTAAAAAGAATTGAAATTAATTTCATAACACATTTTACTTTCCCCAATATATTAAAATATTTCATTTTCACATAGTCAGTATAAAAGTTATTGGGATATTCATACCAATTCCTTTAAATCTACAAGATAAGCAACATTTCAAAGGCTCTGTAACCACACGTGGCTAGTGGCTACCACACTGGACAGCACAGCACTTATGGAGTCTACAGAATCCTACAGCAGTCACTGCTATAGGCTCTTCAACCTTGTTCCCTTTCTTCCTGAGCTCACTCACTTTCCCAACCTCCCTTACGGTTAGATGTGGAAATGTGACAGGGTTCTGACCAAAGGAATGTAGACAGTGATAGACACCACTTCCAAGACCAGATTGTAACAGCTTCTCACAGAAGCCTCTCTTCCCCAACTGTCAACTAAATTGTGACAACTCCAAGGACTCACAGGAGAGCCGAGTCACAAAATGGAAGTTGTTCTGGGTTCATGAATGCCCAGTAGTAAATATTGACATTGCATTTTGTATGAGCAAGAAATAAACATTAAGGTGTTAAGCCTGAGACTCTGAGTTGGTTGGTTATAGCAACTAGCAATAATTTAGTCCAATCAATAACAATTTCTTAACTGGATCTGGACAAAACACTTGATCCCGTCTATATGAACACAACTCTGAACCTGTGCAGAAACACCTGTGCCACCTAAATTGTACCTGTACCCATACCTGAACTGTACCACCTGATCTCTTCATGGGAACATGTCATAATACAGACTAAGGAGCCCCATCCTGAACTTGTACAGGAATCCCTAGCCTGCAGTCTCTAGAAACACCTGTCTTGAAAACTCTATAGAAACCGCCCATGGCTCAGTAGAAGAACACTATAGAAACTGTAGGAATCCCTGTTCTCACTCTATCCAGGAACATATGCTTGACCTATAGCAGAAATGACCTGACCCTGTTCATTAATCCCTGTCCTCACATAGTGCATAAAGGGAAGACCTCTCCTCAGCAATCATGGAAACTTTGCACTCATCCTGCAAAGGAATCCCAGCCAGATAAAAGAGACCAAAGACTGACATTCTGCAAGAGGGATCAGCAAACTATGGCCTCCTGGGCAAGGAGAAATTGCAGTCCGTTTTCACATTTTTTTATGGGAAAGAAAGGAGAGAAGGGCGGGAGGGATAGATAAAAAGCCACAGAGGTGGTATGTGGCCTGCAAAACCTAAAATATTTACTATCTGGCCCTTTATAGAAAGTTTGCTGACCTCTACTCTATAGGAACTTCTATTTTCACTATCCAGAAAATGGATCTTGGCCCTTTCAAGACTCCCTGTTCTATCATTTTGCAGGCATCACAACCCCAGAATGTTCTTCGTGTCTATCACTCTGTTTTCTTTAGTGTGTGTGGTTTAAAGGTCTTAGATCCATGACCCTCTTCCACTGGGACAAAAGACACGTTCATGCAGGAAGAGTGGAAGGGAAGAGCAGGCTGGAACTGGGGTTTTCGAGGTTCAGAAGGCCCAACGCCTACTGGGCTGCGGGGCTGTCAATCTGTTTGTTAGTCAGCGATGCTGAAGGCCAGACCGCTTATCTCTCTGGCCCCAGCCTACAGCCCGGTAGGAAATGGCAAAGAATGAGAGAGGAGATTAGGAGGACAAACCGGCCTCCGTGGGGCTGCAATTTAGACATTTAGACACGGAGGCGGAGAGTTGGGAGGGGCACCTAGGGCAACTCCCTCTAGCCTCCATACACTTTCCATTACAGCTCCGGAACAAAGTTACCCAGTGGAGGGGGGTCTGACGTTGGGGGCGGGGGGATTTGCCGCCCAAGAAAAGCTCCCCTCCGCCAAGTCCATTCTGGCCTCGGGGAACTATTATCACAATTCTCCAGATGAGGAAACTGAAACACAGAGACATTCGGCAACTTGCCCCAGGTCACATGGCTGAGACTCTCGTAACCTCAGTTTCCTTATCTGCCTAGCAGCCTTAATAATGGGAACTACCTCCTAGAACTGCGGTTTACAATGCCTGTCCCACAAAAACACTCGCCCCTCCTCCGACTCCTCGCGCCTCACAGCCATTTCCCGGGCATTCTATTAATAGTTGGCACTTGGAAAGTGCTTCCTGGGTGCCACCTCAGTGATCTTTCAGAGCAGCCCCACCACACTTCTCATCACCACTCCCACCCTGGCCGCCACACAAGTAGTTTCCACCGCGCTCCCTGCCCAGCCGCCCCGTCCGCGCACGTCATCAAGGCGCGCCGCGCGGGAAGCCGCTGGTAGGAGCCAAGACGACCCTTCCTAACTCTCTCGCTTGCTGGCTTGCTCTCGAGTCAGCGCACGGCACTGCTGGCACAAGTCCCGAGGGTTCCTAAGGTGACTGGGCAGGGGCGGCGGCGCGGGGGCCACCTTAACCAGGGCGGCGAAGGCGGCGGCCTTGGGGGGAGGGGAGGGCGCGAGCCCGCGCGTCACCCGAAAACCCGCGCCTGACGCAGGCGCAATACCGCTCGTGTCGCGCGCGGACGCACAAGTCTGTTAAAGAACTCGCGCGGTAGGCGGGGCACCAACGGTGTCGGCCGTTGAGCGCAGCGTTACCACTGGATCGCGCTTGTGTGGGTGGGCGGGACCTGGGCGGGCTGTGGAGAGATTCGGTCCAATGGAAAAGAGGAGCTCAGGCCCCCTCGGCCCCCCAGGTCGCCGGGAATCTCTTTGCGCGAGTCCTGGGCGGAGTTTGAGAAAGGGGCAGGGCACTGTGAGTGAGGCTGACAGGATTGGGCGGTGTCGATGGCGGGGGCAGGCCGGATGGGGGCTGGCGGGGGCGGCTCCGAAGCGACTGAAAAGGCTCGGTGAAGCCTTGGGGGTAGGGTCTGAGCAGGGGGTGGGGTCTGGTGGGAGGAAAGGGGAAGACCCCCGAGGAGCCGGGCATGTGGAGACCGTAGGGGCGGGACCTGACCCGGTGGAAGGTGCGGGTCTCCCGATAAGGGGTGGAGTTAATGGCTCGCTAGGGGTGGAGTCAGGGCCAGGGCTGGGTCTGAGGGAAAAGCTGGGTGGCTATCCGGGCGATTGACTGGAAAGAGTTGGCTTTCGAGCGGGTGGGGTCTGGAAGAGCCTGAGAGGATTGGAAAGGTCTGGGAATGGGAGGGAGGCGGTTCGGAAAGCGGAAGGGGCGGTGATTAGCCGCAAAGGGCGGGCCCTAAAACCTCTGGGCTAATTACTCAGTGAAGGGGCGAGATTTTCAAAGGGAAAGAATGGTGGAAGGGGGTGGAGCCTCACTGAATGGGCGGGGCCAGGTGGAATGAACACCCTAGCAAACGGAGGGGGCTTGGAGGGAGGCGGGGCTTAGGAGGCGGTGGGGAATAGGTTGGCAGAAGGGATGGCGACTAGAGTAGGGGGCGGGGCCTGGGAAGGAGCTGGGATGTGGGGTCCCCAGGGATTGGGATGTCCAGCCCTTCACAGTCACATCCACCCCACCCCCAGAACCGCGGCAGGGGTGAAGTCTCCCCGACCATGACCTCCCACGGTCAGGATTCCACCACCATCAGGCAGCGAAGGAGTAGGCACAACCCCCACTCTCCCCCTCAGGACTCCAGCATCACCTCGGTGAGGCCCCAGACCTGCAGATGAGGGGGAGGGGGAGCAGCGGGCCGTTCACTGGACTCTGACCCTTCTCTCTGTTTGGCAGAAGCGAGGTATTAAAAAGGGTGCTGCACTCCACTCCAGCCCCAATCTAGCAGAGGTAAAGAAGAAAGGCAGAATGAAGAAGCTCAGCCAAGCGACCGAGCAAGACCTAGTCGTGGGGCTGCAAGGACTGGTGAGCGGGGCCTGGCCCCAGTGTACCTTCCTGTCACAACTAAAACCCTGAGGTTCTCCATCCTGGACAGTGTAGTTTACTCCTTCTGACTCAGGTCCTTAATGAATATGTCTCTCCTATTTTTCCCTGCAGGATCTGAACCTTGAGGCCAAGATACTGTCTGGCACTGGCTTGGTGTTTGATGAACAGCTAAATGAATTCTACTGCCTCTGGGATGACAGGTGAGGCTGACTCCTCCAGGTTGTCCCCAACCCACACAAATACACACATTCAGAGCCCATTAGCAAAAACCAGTACTTTCTTATACTACCCTAGAGACCAGAAGCAGATGATTTAGGAAGGTGGAGTACCAGCTTGAATGGGTTCTTTTCATTCCGCCAACAAACATTTGTTGAGTGCCTGTTGTGTGCCAGGAGCTGGTGATACAGACATGTTAGGCAAGACAGAGAGGGTCCCTTCTCAAGACGCTGGTGGGTAAGTGGAGAGTAGATCATTAAACAGCCAACAGCACAGTGTGATGTGTTCAATGAATGAGGACTTAAGACCAGGGGATTCCAGAGTGTTTACTAGAGAGTCCTCCACTAACAGCCAGGGTTTCCAGAAGGCTTCCTTGAGAAAGGGGTTTTTGTATTGAAATTGAAGAATTATGCCTCCCACTCACTGTAGTTTTCACGCTTGTAATCCATCAGCAAATTCTTTTGGTTGTTTGAAATTTATTCAATATCTCACCTCTCTTCACCACTTCTACTACCACCACCACAATCACTCACCTAGACTTGCAGAGGCCTACTCACCAGTCCCCTGCTTCTACCCTCAACCCTATTCTGTTCTCCACACTGTAGTAAAAAAAAATATGTACAAGATGATGTTCTCTTTCTTACAGTCCTTCAAGGGCAAGCTTTTGCCCTCCAGGCAAAGTTCAGATTCTTCATGCTGGACTCTAAGGTTCCACATGGCCTGCTTCCACACCACCTTGGTGACCTCTTCAGCCAGTCCTCTCCCTCATTTGCTTCTCTTACCTTTACTTCACTCACACTGTTCTTCCAACATGCCAGGTACTCTCTTGTCTCAGCTCTTTACCCTGACTGATCCCTTTCCCAAAGATTCATTTCTACCTTCTCCTTTCCCATTTAATATTCACATCTCAAAGGGACTTTCTCAGAGAGTGCTTTACCTGGTCACTTCTCTTCCTCCACACCTATCTTCTTCCAGATTTTCCTAGCCCATGTTATTTTTTTTAATTATTATACTAACATGTTTACCAGTTTAGTACCTCCTCGTCCCCACATAGGACTCATGATGGCAAAAGATTTCATTTATTGAATACAGGGGGAAGATTATTAAGGACCTTGTGTGGCATTGGGAGGACTTTGGCTTTTGCTCTGGATGAGATGGGAGTCATGAAAAGGTTTTGAGTGGAGGAGACATATGAACTGTTTGGGGTTTTGACCAGTAGTTACAATGAGGAGAAAGAACTGATGTGGGAGGGTAAAAGCAGTGAGGCCAGTGAGGAGCACAGGTAATGGAGGCAATGAGAAGGGGACAGACTTTGGTTATATTGTGAGAATGGAGCCAACAGTCACCAACAATGACTCCAAATTTTCTGGCATGAGCAACCACAGTGGTTGGGGGAGATGTGGCAGGAAAGGATGTGGTGTTCGCCAGTGTCCCCATACATATCTTTGTGTGTGTTGCTGTATCTCTGTGAATCCAGCTTCCCTGAATGCCCTGAGCGGCTCCATGCCATCAAAGAGCAGCTCATCCAGGAGGGCCTCCTCAACCGTTGTGTGTCCTTTCAGGTGAGTCCATAGCCCACACCCTGGGTGGAGGGCCGGAGCTGGGCATAGCCAGTACCTTAGCCCTTTAATCTACATGTCTCTCCAGGCCCGGTTTGCTGAGAAGGAAGAACTGATGTTGGTTCACAGGTGAAGACTGGGGAGCCTTGTAGGGATGGGGAAGAACTGCCCGAGTGAACCAGGGCAGGCAGATGCTTTGGGGAGGAATCTCATGGGCTCTGAGACCTTGGGCAAGTCTCCCTGTACCTCAGTGGTACTGCCTGTAACATGGGACAAGGAGGAAGGTGGGCCTCTGACTCTCATCCCCTATCTGTGTCTGTAGCCTGGAATACATTGATCTGATGGAGACGACTCAGTACATGAATGAGGGGGAACTCCGCATTCTAGCAGACACCTATGACTCAGTTTATCTACATCCGGTATGGATGAGAACTGTGAAGTCAGGGGGTGGTGGCAATCCTGGGGTCCCTCATCCCCACACCCACCCCACCCTGGGGGGAACAACTGAGTGGACAGGGCTGCTCTCTCCCTTGCTCCCTCTCTGGCTCCTCACTATCTCTGCAGAACTCATACACCTGTGCCTGCTTGGCCTCAGGCTCCGTCCTCAGGCTGGTAGATGCAGTTCTGGGGGCTGAGATCCGGAACGCCATGGCCATCGTCAGGTAGGACCCAACAGCATTTTCCTTTTTACGTTAAAAAAAAATCCATTCTTCAAATGTAAAATGTAATGGTATAGGTCGTGTATTCATGTGGTTCAGGAGTAAAAAATGGTACAAAAGAGGCTACAAAAAAGTCTCCCTACTGCCGCCCCCACCCCCAGACACCAGCTTTCTTTCCTGGGAGGTAATCATTGCAACTAATGACTCATGTGTCCTTCCAGAAATAGTCTGCTTATTCATAGAATAAAATACCATGTTTTGTTGATTCTAAGGGACTTGTTTTTTTGTAACGTCTTGACCTCAGATACGTTGTACAAACAGTGGCTTCTTAGAATTCGGTTGGCATCTTCTGCTTTGTTGTTGGCACATAAAATCACAGTACATCTTATCATTGGCATCCCAGAACTGATGAAATACAAAAGACATAGCCTTTCCCTTCCACCCCTGTTTTTAGCCATAAATCATGGTCGCACGTGACACTCTCACTTCCATACCATGCATTTTTTACTTACACATCTACTCTGACAGTATGGAACTTAGACCTGTGTAGAAGGTCATTTTGTAAATGCACAGGAAGTTAATCAGTTGCCTGCCCATGGCTGTTTTAGTTCCCCCACCCAATCAGTTGCTTTTTCCAAGAACTGCCGTAGTCTATATTGTTGTCCATTTATAAACATGTTATTTCTCCCTTTTTGTTATATAGGTTCTAGGCTGAGTCCCCAGGAATGACCCCAAATTACTGGGTGTTTGAGTATATGCATTGATACTTTTAATTATTATGAAATTTCCTTTGGAGAGAGCTGTAGACTAGGATCGTGGGTCCAAGGGCCCCAGTTCCTCAGTTCATGGAAGATTTGTAGGCATTGGCACTGGGGGAGTTGGTGGTCCACGAGAAAAGGGGAGAGCCTGTCTCTACAGAGAAAGATCCCTCCCACAATCTGTGGTCTTCCTTGTCCTGCCCAGGCCTCCTGGACACCATGCCCAGCATAGTCTCATGGATGGGTATTGCATGTTCAACCATGTGGCTGTGGCTGCCCGCTATGCCCAACAGAAGCATGGCATAAAGAGGTCAGTAGCAAGCAGCACAGTGGGTGTGATGGAGGTGGCACAGGCGTATCTGGTCTGGACTCTTCCCTGAGATGCACATTGATTCTTTTACATAGTGCCCCCTTCTCTCGCTCACAGGGTCCTTATCGTGGATTGGGATGTGCACCATGGTCAGGGGACACAGTTTGCCTTTGACAAGGATCCCAGGTATGCCCCAAGTGCCACCCTAGATGCTAGACTCTGAGCAACCACCCATCCTTCATGTCCAGCCAGAAGGAGCCCAGGAAGGGAGGGAAGACAGTCCTATTTCTTGGACTCATTCTAGCACCAGGCTCTGGCTGCTCTCTGTGGATCTGTTCTTTTCATTTCACTCTGAGGAATGAACTGTTAGGTTCCCTATTTTATAGCTGGGGGAACTGAGGCTTACAGGTTTAGGAGAAAACACAGAGAAGAAATGGAAGAGACAAGATTTGTGCCCATAAATATTTGGAGATCTTGCCCACACTAATTTACCCTGGAACTGGAGTGAACCTTAAATTACTACTATGTTTTTGCTGATTATCATAGTAGACTACATATTTATTTAAAAAAATTAATACAGAAATGTCTAAAGTAGTGAGCTTCCTGTAATTCCCATCACCTCAAAATTTTTCCTGTAAATATATGAGTATTCATTATAATTATTTTTAATGCACTGCCTAATGAAACAGTACTCTCTATATGTTCTTCAGCAACTTGCTTTTTGCCTTTAACAGCATTCCATTGACATGTCCCCATGTAGTGCCTCTTAAAAGCACCTCATTCTCTTTAAGGGCTGTACAATGTTCTATTGTATGGCTGTGCCTGTGGTCATTTAACCCTGGGACATTGATAATGCATCCTAGTTTTTGCTACAGTGAATAGCCTAGTAAATATATAATTTTACACTTTTCTGAATATGTCTTAGGATGAATTGCCAATAGTGGATTGCTGGTCAGAGACTTGATAAGGTTTAAAGTCAGGGATCTGGGGCCTCCCTGGTGGCATAGCACTATGAAGCTATCACCAGCCACTGCAACGTGAGTTCGATCCCCTGTCAGGGAGCTAACCCACATGGCACAGCGGACCTCTCCTGTCTCGCCTGCTGCTCCCCTCAGCAGTGTATTTCAGTAGATCCACCTGTTCTGCTCCCCACTCTGTCTCTGGTGAATCCTCTCACCCCCCATACCACTGGTCTATACCCCAGCTCTTTTTTTTTTAAGATTTATTTATTTATACATAGAAGAACTGGCAGATCTGGCAGAGACAGAACAGGCAGATCTACTGAAATACACTGCTGAGGGAGCAGCGGGCGAGACAGGAGAGGTCTGCTGTGCCATGTGGGTTAGCTCCCTGACAGGACTGAACTCATGCCGCAGTGGCTGGTGATAGCTTGATAGCACTGAGACTTTAACCCCTGTGCCACCAGGGAGGCTCTACACCCCAGTTCTTGTATGCATAAATAAATAAAAGTAAATTTTAAAAAGTGTTTAAAAAATAAATAAATTCAGGGATCTATGGCCAGATTTCTCTCCAGAAAGGACAGCCGTTCACCCTTACTGTAGAAAGTAATTAAATGCATGCTCGTCAGTAGGAAACTCTTCTAAGCAGTTATTGTTTTATCCAGCCTTCTATCAAAGGACCACATAGATTCATAGAGCCCATGGCCTATTATCTAATCTAGGTTGGTTGTTCTCTAAACGTTGCTTTATTATTTTCCAATATTCAGTATTGCTGACAGATGTCTGATGTCAATCAGATTTTCATTCATTTCTGAATGATCTATTATTTTTCTCTTTGAAGGTTTTAGGTTCTTCTCTTTTCCCCTGGTGTTCTGAACCTTTACACCAGCCTCCTCATTCTGTTTAGAAGTAGATAGACTTCCTTTTTAAAATCCTTGGAAATTTTCTTCTATTAGAGCTTTGATGAGTTCTACTGTGTGCCCTCTAGTCTCTTCCTGTTAGTCATGTGTTAGACCTGTTGGGTTGATCCTCTATATCTCTTAGTTTTTACCTCATATTTTCTATTGCTTTATGTCCTGGGAGATGTTCTCAACTTTATCTTCAAGTTCTGATGAATTATGTAGTTAGATCTTCTTTTAATCTCCAAGAGCACTCGTTTTTATTACCTGTCATTTCTAATCTTCTTTATTTATAGTACTAATTAGAAATGTTTTGCATTTTCTTCTGTTCTCTGAATTGTTTGTTTGTTCTGGAGTTTGTTGAATTGTTTTTCATTGGTCCTTTTATGCTGGTGGTTTTCTTCAACTATGGAGTGATCTTTATTTGACCGTTGTACCTAAGAATGAAGGACTGCTGTAGATGTCTGTCTTGAGGCTGTTCTGCTGTGGTGTATGTGGGTCTGTTTCCTGAAAGGCATTATTTCCTGGGGACAAGGGCAGAAAATGTCCACTGACAGGTTCAACGTTAGGGGGTGAGGGTAAGGAGCTGGATATTAGATGGGATCCTACCAACTGCCAGAAAAAAGGGAGTCTCTTCTTGGGGTTGCACATCATGTTTTACCCTTAGCCTTGCCAAAAGTTTGTGTATTTATTTTTTCAAATATAGCCTTAGGCTTTTTGGGTCATCGTTAGTATTAATATTAATCTTTATTAATTTATGTTGTGTTTTTTATTTTGTTCATTTCTGGCTTTAATTGAATGCTTCAGTATTTATGAATTTATTGGCCAATCATGGTTTATCTATACCTCCCCTTACTGCTATCCTCCTGTATTATTTTGAAGTTAGTCCCAGATACCATATCATTTCTTCTGTAAATATTCCAGAATATATCATTGAAACATAGGACCTTTTTTAAAGCATTACCATGGTATCATGCCTAAACAAATTAACAAGAATCCCTTGATATTATTAATCATTTTTTTTAATATTGGCAGGTTTTTTTTAAGATTTGTTTATTTATACAAGAACCAGGGTACAGGCCAGATGTGTGGGAGAGTGAGAGGATTCACCAGAAACAGAGCTGGGAACAGAACAGGCAGACTGACTGAAATACACTGCTGAGGGGAGCAGCGGGTGAGACAGAAGAGGTCTGCCACACCATGTGGTATCTCGCTGGCCAGCCGGGATCAAACCTGCGCTGCAAAGGCTGCGGACAGCTTCACAGCACTGTGCTCAACTGCCTGCTCCACCAGGGAGGCCCATTGGCATTTTTTAATGTATTTATTTATGCATACAAGAACCGGGATACAGGCCAGAGGTGTAGGGGGTGAGAGGAGTCACCAGAGGCGGAGTGGGAAACAGAACAGGTGGATTGACTGAAATACACTGCTAAGGGGAACAGCGGGTGAGTCAGGAGAGGTCTGCTGTGCCATGTGGGTAGCTCCCTGACTGGGGATCGAACTCATGCTGCAGTGGCTGCAGAGAGCTTCATAGGTTGCATCTTAACCCCTTGTGCCCTCATTAATCATTCTTTTTGTCAAGATAAATGTATGAGCAGCTTCTTGTGGAAGTCTTATTGAGCCTGTGCATAGATATAAAGCATTATGAATATATTCAATGCATTCTTCCTCAAGAATAAGAATGTATAAATGGAAAAAAAATGATCCATGCCCCTCAGTCTCCTAGCTCCCTATCTTTCAATCTGTTAACTCCATCAGTAGGGGCCTGGGATCCTTAAAATACTACTAGACAGTCTTTAAAATACTATTAAAATAATACTATATTATAAAGGTAAGGAAAATAAGTAAACTAAACTAAGTAGTTAAAAAGATAAACAGGGCCTCTCTGGTGGCACAAGAGGTTAAGACACAACCTATAAAGCTAGCCGCAGCCACTGCAGTACAAATTCATGTGTAGGTTAGCCAGGGAGCTACCCACATGGCACAGTAGACCTCGTGTGTCTTGCCAACTGCTCCCCTCAGCAGTGTATTTCAGTCAATCCACCTGTTCTGCTCCCCACTCTGTCTCTGGTGAATCCTCTCACCACCCGCCCATACCTCTGGTCTACACCCCAGCTCTGTATGCATAAATAAATAAATCTTCAAAAATTTAAAAATAATAAAAGAAATAAGTAAATTTGATGAATTGGTCATTCAGAAGATTGACTATTCAGCATTGACTTTGTGTGCAGTGACCTGGATCTGTATTTTATTTCTCCAGAAGGGAAAACTCATATCATCGTGGTTGCCTACTCCCCAACCTGGAACTTTAAGAGAGTTTTCCAGGGATTTGTTGAAATTCCTTATTGCCTTGAATCCTTTCTCCCATTCTCTTTCTTTGTGGGTTGATACTTATTTAAAATTCCTTTACTATTTTTTGACTGGGATCGATCATAGGAGAGCAAGGAGGTAAACCTGTGCTATTAGAGTCCACTATCCTTTCACTGGAAATCAGTCAAACTTATTACAAAGTCTCCTCCTATTTACTTTATAAACTTAGTTTGCTTAGTGTTAATTCTCTCTTTGTTGACTCTGTCTCATGAAGTTGACTTTTTTCAAGTCTACTCTTTTCTTCCTATTGATGATAATTTTTAGATGCTACTGTATATTTCTCTTTCTCTAATAGTTAATTTACTTTTTTTTAAAAGAGAATAATTTTTCTTTATTTTGATACATGTATATTTAGAACTTTTTTTTCTTTTTCTTTTTTTCTTTTTTTTTATTTTTTTCTCTGCATTTTATTTTATTTTTTTAAATAATAAATTTTATTTTTATATTCCCCATACAATTGCAACCCCCCCATTCTGACCCCAATCCCTCCCCTCCCGCCCCCAACTAATAGTTAATTTACTTTAAAACATTTAGAAGTTACATTTATCTGAGTTCAAAATAAAACAATCATGCCCCTACTTAAGAGAAGAACTTTTCACATGGGTTTCATTCCCCAATTCCAAGATATTTTACTTCAGTTTAAGAATCCTTTTATATCTGTTGCATTCAGTGTCACAGCTATAGTATCAACATTTATTAAAATGTAGCTGTGAAGTTTGTCTAACAGATTCTTACCACTATTTCTTGTATTTCCCTTAAAAAAAGAAAAGGGAAAAAATACTGCCTTAAATCCTATCTAGAGCAAAGCAAGGGGTAGGCGGATGGCTGGGTGACTGAGAGGTTCATTTTTGTTGCCTCATCCCACTTTTTTCTCTGCTTCTAGTGTCCTGTATTTCTCAGTCCACCGCTATGAACATGGTCGGTTCTGGCCCCACCTTAAGGCCTCTAACTGGTCCACCACAGGTTTTGGTCAAGGTCAGGGATATACTATCAATGTGCCTTGGAACCAGGTCAGTGTCTGCCCACCCTTTGTCACCCAAGTGAGGCCCCACCCTGCTCTTCTGCCAGCTTAGGGCAAGTGGCAGAATGTCCCCATTGTGCCTCTCTGTGTGCAGGTGGGGATGCGAGATGCTGACTACATCGCTGCTTTCCTGCACATTCTGCTGCCAGTGGCCCTTGAGGTCCTGGGGGTCTGGGGTGTGTTGGGCAGGGCAATGTTGAGGGATGGGCTATGAGGGCAGGTAGCCTCATGTGATCATTTCCCCCACTCAGTTTCAGCCCCAGCTGGTCTTGGTAGCTGCTGGATTTGATGCACTTCAAGGGGACCCCAAGGTAAGGCAGGCTCCCTGGGATACAGGTGGGCAGAAGAAAGCTACACAGAGCCAAACTGACCCTCCACATTCCCCCAGGGGGAGATGGCCGCCACTCCAGCAGGCTTTGCCCAGCTAACCCACTTGCTCATGGGCCTGGCAGGAGGCAGGCTGATCCTGTCTCTGGAGGTGAGTGACCCACTCCCCTTGGTCATTTGGCCCATGGATCCTAGAGGGCTAAGAACAAAGCTTCCAAGTCTGGCAGGAGTTCTTTCCCAGCATTTCTGCTGACTAGTTGCCCACTCTCATCTAAGCCACTGAACTTCCCGGTGCCTCTGCTGTTCCTATGTCAAATGGGCATAACAGTAATAGTCATTACACTTCACTATTCAGTGAACAAAATGAAGCCACCTTCTAAATTCCTTGTGCTTGGCATGTGCCCTGGCACTATCATTACTATTACTCATCACTGGTAAGGTCTGTTTTTTTTTTTTCCTGAAACCCCCACACTCCTCCCAGGGTGGCTACAACCTCTGCTCTCTGGCTGAGGGTGTCAGTGCCTCCCTCCACATACTTCTGGGAGACCCTTGCCCCATGCTGGAGTCCCCTGGCGCTGCTTGCCCAAGGTGAGCCTAGGTGGAAAAGGGGAGCGGGGGACCCTCGCTATCTACCCAGGGGCTAATCAGTCACATGTCCCTTCCCCTGCACTGCAGTGCCCAGACATCGATCTCCTATACTCTGGATGCCCTGGAACCCTTCTGGGAGGTCCTTGTAAGACCAGGTAGGGGGCAGGGATGGGCTTGGTGATGGGGTGACCTTCAATAAGCCCTGGGGGGACACTCTTCCGACCCCTCTCTGACTTTCCTGAGCCACTTTGATGGGGAAGGTCAGGCTCTCTTACTGGGCCCTGGTTTCAAGTCTTCTATCTCTTTATTTTGGGATTCTGGAACTGAGCTCCAGAGTATTACAGGGATCCAGGGTGGGAGAGTAGGGTAAACGTGGCCTCCCATGTAGTTGAGACCCTGGAGGAGGTCAACATAGAGGGGATCTACATGGAGAAGAAGAAGGCGGCGGAACCATGGCATCCCCCTGAGCTCCCAGTCCTGAAGTGGCCAGTGCTGCAGCCTCGCACAGGGCTGGTCTATGACCACCGAATGATGGACCACTACAACTTGTGGGACAGGTATGTAGCTGGAGGACCAGGATGTGTGGGCAGGGGCGTTCCCTTCTCCCTCCTCAAGCACTAAGCTCTTGGCTCTGGTGACCCCCCTCACCAGCCATCACCCAGAGATGCCCCAGCGTGTTTCACGTATCATGTGTCGTCTGGAGGAGCTGGGCCTTGTTGGGCGCTGCCTCACTCTGCCTGCTCGTCCAGCCACCGATGCCGAACTGCTCACCTGCCACAGGTCAGACCCCATGCCTGAGGTGGGGTTCTGTCACAGTACACATCTTCCCACTTATGAGGAGCTGTGGGTAGGACACCGGAGGGGAGGGGCCGTAGAGGGTAAAGAATCGCCTGACTGTCCCCCACCCCCACCCCCGGCCCGGTTTTCCAGTATGGAGTATGTGGATCGTTTACGCTCCACGGAAAAGATGAAAGCCCGGGAGCTGCATCGTGAGGGCGCCAACTTTGACTCCATCTACATCTGTCCTGGCACCTTTGCCTGCGCACAACTGGCTGCTGGCTCTGCCTGCGAGCTGGTGGAAGCAGTGCTGTCAGGAAAGGTGAGGCTTGAGGCTGGAAGAGGAAAGCAGGACGGAGTGAGGGGCACTGAGAAAGTTGGGCCGAGGAAAGAAGCTTCCAGCTTACCAGAGGCCTTGCTCACTGGGAGATGCATTCATCCAGGGAAATGGAGGCTGGAGTCCCCTAGCAGCTGGTGGAGTAGTGAAAGGGAGGGGAGAGGGAAAAGAACAGGAGGGAGGCAGTGAGGTAGATGGTCCAACCTTTGTTCCCTGCTCTTCCCCCAGGTTTTGAATGGGGTTGCTGTGGTGCGCCCCCCAGGACACCATGCAGAGCCAGATGCCGCTTGTGGTTTCTGCTTTTTCAACTCTGTGGCTGTGGCTGCTCGCCATGCCCAGACTATCAGTGGTCGTGCTCTGAGGTGAGGGCCAGAGGTGGGCCTCCTGTCTTGTGCTTTCTCAGCACGTCCTGTTATACCACCCTTGGGACCTAGCCAGGCACAATCAAGGTTTCTGTCACCTAGTACTTCTCTAGGAAAGGGCCCAGGACCTAGCCTCTCTGTGCTTGCCCAGATAGGACCCCCAGATTTTGGCACAAAAGTGCTCATAAAACAGGCTCCAGGGGCCCGCTTCAGCATATCTGGTCCCTGACAACTATCTGACAGAACCTGGGTCTAGGTCCCTGAGCTTATTTCTAAAGACCCAAGATCCAGTTCCCAACACCACAGAAACCCAGGCTGTATTTCCCTGGTCATTTCCCAGAGGAGCCCAGGGACCAGCTCTGAGTACTTTACTCTAACCCACCATGAAACCCTCAGGAGCCAGGCTCTGCTTCCTCCTTACTTGGCTAGAACTCCCAAGCCTGACAGTGTGTGTATGTTTTCCCCAGGGACCTGAGGTCCTGCCATCCACAATAAATGCTCCTATAGACAGAACCCAGGGATCTAGCCCCTACCCTCTCCCAAGGGGTAAGTGTCTTGGGTAACTTAAGAGCTGTACTTTTTCCAGGATCCTGATAGTGGACTGGGACATCCACCATGGTAATGGAACTCAGCGTATATTTGAGGACGACTCCAGGTGAGGGACCACGGAGGGGGGCAGATGTGTCAGGAAGGTGGGCAGGCTTGCCTCAGGGGTGAGGCCTCCACAGGAGCAAGGCAGCTACTAACCAGCCGTGGTTCCCTCTTCCCGCCCTGTCCCCGGCAGCGTGCTGTACATCTCCCTGCACCGCTATGATCATGGCACCTTCTTTCCCATGGGAGATGAAGGTTCCAGCAGCCAGATGGGCAGGGCTGCTGGCACAGGCTTCACTGTCAATGTGGCCTGGAATGGGCCCCGCGTGGGTGACGCTGACTACTTAACTGCCTGGCATCGTCTAGTGCTCCCCATTTCCTATGAGGTACGGTTCGGGATATGTGTGACGCCACCGTGTGGGTGGCAACAGGTGTGCAAGAGTTCCAGGCCCCTGATCCTGTGAGGCAGCCTGTGAGGTGGCTGCAATGACAGCTGTGGGGGGGGTGTGACTGTGTGGCGGCCGTGTACACCATCATTAGTGCCTATTTGTATGTGATGGTGGCCCCCTGTGACTGAGTATGTATGAGACTGCACAGGTGGCTATTTGTCACACTGATTTTCCTGTGTAATGGGTGTGATAGTGTATGTGACTGCTTGTTTTTTGTCACAGCTGGTGTGTGACTTTCTGCATGTGGGAGGCTATGTATGGCAGTCATCACTGTCTGTCTATGTCTCTCTCTCCCTGGAGGTGACTTGTATAAATTTGCCTGACTGCATGCATGGCTTTAGGTAACTATCTTCTCTCTCTCTGTGTGTGTGTGTGAGAGAGAGAGAGAAAGAGAGAGAGAGAGAGAGAGAGAGAGAGAGAGAGAGAGAGAGAGAGAGAGAGAGAGAGAGAGAGAGACTGAGGGAGTGAGCGCCATCTCTCACTTCTGTGGGGAAGTGCATGTTCAGATGTGTAGGTGTATTAGTCTGTGTGCAATGGCTGTGACTACCTTCTCTGTGTGTGACTAACTAAGCAATCACCTCCTGTGTGGGCACAGTAGTGAGCATGTATGACTGTTAGGACTGTGGGGATGGTATGTGTATGATTGTGTCTTTGCAGGGGTGGCTGTGGATGACTAATCCCCTCTGTGAGAAACTATGTGGTGGGGGGGCTGATGGTGTGTGTTATGTGTGATTGTTGTGTGTGACCATTTTCTGTGTGTCACTTGCATTGCCATCGTCTAGCACTGGATGTATACAACCCTGTGTCAATACACATGTGTTCCATCGCTTACCCGGGAAGCAAGAATGGGTGCCTCTTGGTTCCAACCTTAGGAATTCATTCCTTAATTTCTGAATCTCCACATCTCATGTCTCTGTGCCTTTTTTTTTAAAAAAAAAAAAACAGTATTTTTTTAAAAGATTTATTTATTTATGCATACAAGAACTGGGGTACAGGCCAGAGGTATGGGGGGTGGTGAGAGGATTCGTCAGAGTAGGGAGCAGAACAAGCAGAGTGACTGAAATACACTGCTGAGGGGAGCAGCGGGTGAGACAGGAGAGGTCTGCTGCGCCATGTGTGTTAGCTCCCTGGCTGGGGATGGAACTCGTGCTGCAGTGGCTGCAGAGAGCTTCACAGTGCTGAGAATTAAACCCTTGTGCCACCAGGGAGGCCCTTTTTTTAAAATTTTTATTGGTCTCTGTGTCTTGTATCTCTGTCTTATGACTCTACCTTATGTCATCATCCGTCCATTTCTAGTGTCTTCATGTCTCTGTGTCTCCTGTCTCTGTGTCTGATGTGCCAGTGTCTTTGTCCATCTGACTCCATGTCTCTGTGTCTCTGATTCTCTCTGTCTTGTGTCTCCACATCCTCCCCTTTCTGTTCTCAGGCTTCTGGTCATGTGTTTCTAGGTCTGTGTCACCGTCTCTCTGTCTTCATTTGTCCTTGTCTCTGTGTCTTTGGGTCCTCCTCACCTTACTGCCTACCCAGGCCCCCACCCTCATGCCCATGTGTCTCTTCTCTCCCTGCTTCAGTTTAATCCAGAGCTGGTGCTAGTCTCAGCTGGCTTTGACGCTGCACGGGGGGATCCTTTGGGAGGCTGCCAGGTGTCACCCGAGGGCTATGCCCACCTGACCCACCTGCTGATGGGCTTGGCCGGTGGCCGGATTATCCTAGTCCTAGAGGTAACTCTCGCTCAGTCCTTCTTCTCACAGTGGCGGGGGGGGGGGGGGGGGGGGGGGTGGGGTGGGGGCGGGGGGCGCGGGTTGGAAGGCTTGAAGTCCTGCCCTTTCTGGTAGCTAGCTGTGATGCTCAGGACAGTTTCCTAAAATCTCCTTTGAGTGTCTCCCCCCCCCCCCACTGTTGGCACATACTGGGCACCAATGACACTAACATTAACAACTTTGAATGTTCTTATGTGAAAAACACTCTTCTTGGCACTTTGTGGTAGTATTCATTCATTTCCTTGACAAAGAAGCCTTATGAGGTAGGGTCTACTGTCTTTAGTGTTCTCCTCTCAAGATAAGGGAAACTAGCTCGAGGTCACATTTTTATCAATGGCAGAGCCTGGGCTTGAATCCAGGCAGCCTGGCTCCAGGGTCTACTTTTTACCATTGCTTGAACTGCCTCTAGCAAGGTCCTGAGACAAAGTAAATTCAGACCTTTTGTAAATTACTCAGTGATTCCACCCCCTGTGCCTCAGTTTCCTCATCTGTAAGATGTGCACGGCTAATAACGGCAGAGTGCATGGTATATTGCAAGCACTGCATAGGTGCTGTAGCTTCTGATTATGCATTGTTCATGCATTTGCTTAGCCCCCTCAGCACCCTGCAGGGCTGTCCTTCTCACTCCCACACAGATGAGGATAATAGCTCAAAGAGAAATGAATTGGCTGGAATAAGCCCCAGGGATGGCAGTTAAGAACAACTCCATCCTTAGATAGCCCAGGCTCCAGCCCTCCTGATGCCTCTTCCCAGTTATTGTCACCTCCAGCGAGTCATCCAACCACTGTTAGCCTTCGTTTCTTTACCTGTAAAGAGTTCACTGGGGCTTCTATGGAGAATGAGAAAAGGGGTTCATGTAGAAAGACCAGTATTTCTGTACTAGATTAGAGCCGCGGCTTCTATGTGGGTGCAGCCAGGGCTCCAGATACCGTGACTTCAGGTTCCTGTACAAATTGAGCATACATGGTTGTGGGGATTAAGTGAAGTAATATGCATAAAGTGCTTAGAATGGGTCTGGCACACAGCAAGCACTTGAAAAATGTCAGCTATTACTAATGTTACCATCAGTATTGTTACTGTAGTTGCTGTGACCTTGTGCTTTATTGCACAATTTTCCCTCCTCAACTGCTTCACACTGTGGGTGCTTCCCAGCTTATAGATGTAGGTTCTACTCACTTGTTCCTAACTCCTACCCTCCAGAAATTGTAGGGCCCTAAGGGGATATTGGGAGGCCCGGCATCTTGCCTCCCAAATTCCCTGGAAGAATCATAACCCCCCATATACTTTTCACTCTTTTTCCTTGACAAAGGGTGGCTATAACCTGACCTCCATCTCAGAGTCGATGGCTGCCTGCACCCGCACCCTCCTAGGGGACCCACTGCCCCTACTGACCCTGCCACGGCCCCCACTATCAGGGACCCTGACTTCGATCTCTGAGACCATCCACATCCATCGCAGATACTGGTGCAGCTTACGGGTTATGAGTGAGTTGGCCTGGGGAATTGGGGGCATTTGGGAGCCCAGGAGGGCAGGGATTAGAAGCAGAGGAATAGCACCCATACTCAAGAATCTCCCTCCCATGGTTCCAGAGACAGATGACAAAGAGGTTCCCTCCACTTACATGTTAATCACCAAGAATACATCCCAACCTGCTGAACCTGACTCACATGAGGGGGTAACCGTGCCAAGAGGAGGGGACATTCTGGAAACAGGCATGGGGAAGACCACTTCAACATCATCTGTGGAAGAGTCCACTGCAGGTCAGACTAAGTCAGAGACAGCTGTGGTGCAGCTCACTCAGGACCAGTCCTTGGAGACAGCCACGGGGGAAGCCACACTGGACCAGACCCCCTCAGAGACAGCCATGGGGGAAACCATGCTTGGCCAGACCGCTCCAGCCTTGTATACTAACAACGAGACTCCCCCAACTTCACCCGTGCAAGGAGCCACACCCCTGTTATCCCCCAGTGAGCTGATTGGGAACCTCAGGGCTTTGGAACTAGGCAAGAAAACTCAGGTAAGGTCCACTACACCCGGGTAAACTGAAGCAGGGGCAAGAATTGGGCCTCTCAGATATATCTCATTTTTTTTTCTTTTTTTTTTTTAAAGATTTATTTTATTTATTTATGCATACAAGAGCTGGGGTATAGCCCAGAGGTGGGGGGGCAGGAGGGAGGTGAGAGGATGCACCAGAGACAGAGTGGGGAACAGAACAGGTGGATTGACTGAGATACACTGCTGAGGAGAGCAGCTGGAAGACAGGAGAGGTCTGCTGTGCCATGTGGTTAGTTCCCTGGCCGGGGATCAAACTCGTGCTGCAGTGGCTGCTGAGAGTTTCATAGTGCTGAGACTTAACCCCTTGTGCCATTAGAGAGGCCCTCAGATATCTCTCTTATCTCTGCGTATCCAGGAAGTCCTAGAGTCCCAGAACCCAGAAGAGGAGAGTCTACCAGGAGGCGTGACTGGAGGTCAGGACATGAATGATTCCGTGCTAATGCAGGCCTTTGGGAGCCATGCTGATACTGACCAGGTGAGCTCAGCCATAGACTGTGACTATGACGTCCTTCTCTTGCCTAGCTGTACCTCCAAGTAGGGACTTGTGATGGGGAGATGGAGACCATAGCTAACTTATTTTCACCCACTGCAGCCCACATTTTATGCTGTGACACCACTGTCCTGGTGTCCCCATTTGGAGTTCATATGCCCTGTACCTGCGGCAGGCCTAGACGTGACCCAACCTTGTCAGGACTGTGGAATGCACCAGGAGAATTGGGTGTGTTTGTCTTGCTATCAGGTATGTAGCAGAGGAAGGGGTTGAGGTGGAAGTTGACCCACGAGCAAAACACAAGTGGGTGCTAATTCCCACCCAACACTCCCCAATCTCAGGTCTACTGCGGTCGTTTCATCAACGCGCATATGCTCCAACACCACGAAGCCTCAGGACATCCTCTGGTACTCAGCTATGTTGACCTGTCTGCCTGGTGTTACTACTGTGAAGCCTATGTCCACAACCAGGTATGCCCCAGGAAGACCCCCTAACTCATTCACCCCCACTACACAAATACCTGCTGTGGTTGGGAAAGGGGAGAATGGAGACCCTTCTGTATGACTACCTCTTGATTATTTTGTGTGGTGTGGGGGCAGTGAGGTAGTTCAGGAGACAGGGTGATTGAGGACTAGAGTGGGGGCAGCCTCCTGGCTGAGGTAAAGGGGTCTGCCGTCTCTCTGACCTACTGTTTCTTGCCTCCTCCTCAGGCTCTGCTAGAGTCAAAGAACATCGCCCACCAGAACAAGTTTGGGGAGGATATGCCCCATGCACACTAAGTCCCAGGATGCACTCCTGTTCACCTACTGAGAAGCAAAGTAGACCATCCTTAGTTAATTCCAACCTGTACCGCGGATGAGGGGCAGCCTCACTCCATCCCATCCTGAACTCCCCAAGAGTTATAATACCCCAAAGGTGCTGATTGAAGTATAAATATTTGTAAGAAGACTGTGATGATCAGTTGTAGATCACCTGTCCACACCTGCCTGAGGGACTCCATCTCCTCTGCCCCAGAAGAATAGAGGAAGCAGCTCAGTGGCCCAAAAAGAACCTGATATCACAAAGACAAGGACATTGGAGGGGCGCATGAAATGGCAGATGTGTAAGGTTGCGTATATAATAAAGTACAAGCTGTTACAAAACTTGAGAAAGCCTTTTAACCTTGAATGGGTGGAAAACCCCACACTCCTGGCCAATATGGCTAATGAGGGCCATAAGGCTTTATCAGGGCTACTCCCTGCCCATCCAGTGCCCCCCCCAAAAAAAAATACTAACTGGAAATAATAGAGCAAGCAAGTTGACTGGCTCCTCTAAAAATTAAATAGAATCCCTGAAGAAATGAATACCTACATTAGAAACAGACTCAAAGCCAGCCCCAGTTACGCTCTAAGCTGAGAGACAAGAAAACTATCAGGAAGTATCCTTGTGCTGACTCGCGGGGACAGGGCATAGGTTTATCAGCTGGATTTGTGGTCCTGGGTTGCTTCTTGGAAAAAGGAATGCTTACCATTGACTGAGGGTGGGGGATTTGGGCAGTTTGGGGGTTTTCTCGCTCCCACAAAAAGAGAATTGCTTTGGCAACTCAAAGGACCCCAAGCTGAGGTTTCCTGAACTTTTCTTCATGGGCCCCCTTATAGCCCCCAACATGGCCACAGGTGCCCCATCCAGACAAGAAAGGGAAGGGGACTGCAACTATCTCAGTCACCCCCCCACCCCTGCTTCCTTTTAGGGACATTCTCGTATACTCCACCCTACAACCCATGCTCACATGTCATTGGGCAGAACTGTGTCATATGACTGCCATAGCTGCAAGGGAGTCTAGGGAATGTTTTAATTTGACACACGTCCACTTCAACTCAGGTTCTTTCATCCCTGACACAGTGACCTTCCCTTGCAACTCTGTCCAGAAACTGACGAGCACAACCTTCTGCAAGCTATCAAAAAGTCTGCTTGAGGCAGGACGTGTTCCATGGCCTCAGACAGACCCTCATAAAACATATCTCAAAGTCTGGCCACTCAAGGGTCAAAAGTGACAACCCACACTCACTGAAAACACGAAATCACATCCCAGATGAGTGCAAGGTAGTAAGGGAGAGCGGCAGCAGGATGCAAGGGGCTCACAGGGAGGTCAGGCGCTTGCAGCACACCCCCAAGAGGACCTTCTTCATGCACACTTGGGGGTGGGGACATGACCCTGCCCTCACCTCAGGGCGGGGGACCTGAGGGAGGGTCTCTGCGCATGCGTGCTTGCTCCCCATCCCAATCGGGGCGGGGTGGGAGCTTCTACTCCAGTGTCAGTCCTGTCAGAGCCGCAGCGGGTCCGGTCCGAGCGCAGCCTCCCTTCCCAGGACACAGGTAAGCCGGGCCGCGGGGCCCCCATCCCAGCCGCCGCCCTGACCTAGGAGGTCTTTCCTCGTAGAGTTGGGGTGTGACTGAGTTGGAGCTGCATGATCCCCTTCCCCTACGTCCTCCCATTCTCAGGGGCCAGCCGCCGCCTCCCAGCCCCTCCTGCAGCCGGCTTTGCGCAGCCAGAGCTGGGTGTGAGTGTTGGGGCCAGTAGGAAGCAGGGCTGCAGGGCCAAGACTCGGGACTGGGGTGGTCCTTTCCTGCACCCTAGACCACCAGAAAGAACTGAGTGAGCCTGAGTGCAGGGTCATTTTTAGGGTGAAACTAGGACTCACCCCTCCCCGCCCAGAGCTTTGCACCTCACATGGCTGAGTTAAGGGAAGTGTGAGACCTGGTGAAGTCGTGCTGCCCGGCCCGGGAAGGAGCGGAGCTGGAAGGGCTCATGCTTGGGGGGGTCTACCCTGCCCCTCCACTCTCCACCATCTGCGCCCCCTAAACCTACCCCCCAGGCCAGTTAGTTGAATGCAAACTAGGGGGTCCGGGCCGCTTAAAGTGGGGTGGAGGTGGGGATTTCCAGGGACTGAAGGACCCGATGGGGATGCTCCAACGGCGCTTGCCGCGTGGGGTGGCTCTGCATTACTTGGTCGGGGTTGCCCCATAACAAGACCTCGCTGCTGTCCATCCCTTCTGGGTGGTGTGACCTCGGACCCGCTGCCTTCACCTCACTTCTCTGAATTCACTGACCCTCATTGCTCAAGGGGCCGTGGCGATGATAACGCTTCACTGGTTTCGGGAAGAGCGAGCGCGGGCTCCCCAGGCCCCATACCTGGCACGTAGCAAGTCCTCCCTATGGACTACAGCTTTTAAGATATCTTCACCAAGAGGGAAGAGCCCTTTCACCAGTCCCCTACCTCAGGTTTCCAGTGGCTCAAAATTTGGGAGTCATCCTTAACCTCATCCCCCCTTTGAATTTCTCAGCAAGTCCTGTCAGCTCTACCTTCAGAATACCCCAGAATCTGCCCTCTCAAAGTGCACCGCCATTGCTGGCCTGCTGCTGTGCCTCCCTCGCTGCTTCCACCCTCCTCCCTCCCCGTAGCCTTTCCTCACAGCTAGGTCTTCTCCCCTTTCTGTCCCCCAAATATTTGAGGACCCCCAGTTCTGTTCTCTAATTTCTTCTCTCATCATGGCCCCTTTCTGGGTGCGCATATCTAATAACTATTTTCAGCACTCTCTCCGGGCTGTGGACCCCACACCTGGATTCCCCATCTGGGACCTTGCCCGCCTCCCGGGACCTCCAGATTCCAAACTCAACAGAACCCCCATGGAGACCTTCAACCCCCCCATCTGTCCCCAAATAGCCTCTGCTCTAGGCTTTCCGGGGGACTTGTTGCATCCATTATGATGCACTTCCTGAGGCCACACACTAAACTAAAACCAGGATGTATACTGAATGAGTGAAGAGTGTTTTGCTATTAATAGCTAACCCTAATTGAGCACCTGCTGTGTGCCCATCCTCTCCAAACTGCATGGTAATTTACTTGCTTAGCTTGTTTGTTGTCTCTTTCTCACCTCCAAAATCTAATCCCCCACAAGGGCAGGGACTTTAGTCTATTTTGTTCACTGCCACATTCCCTCTTCCCCACCCCCCCACCCCGCCCCCAGCACAATGCCTGCAGCCGGCAAATTCCTGAGTCAATGCATGAAAATTAAATTACAATAAAAATGCCTAACATTGACCAAACGCCTTCTGCGTGCTTCTCACCTATTGTTGTAAAACACTTTACTAATTTGTCCTTGTTGTCTGACTTCCTGACGGGAAGGTCCCTTTCACCTGGTCCGGGGCTTGTTTTCTATTTCTCCCCCCACCTCTAAGTCTTTGCCACACACCAGAGTCTCAATAACCACACGTGAATAAGTAATAAAGACTAAATTCTAATGATAATGGTGAGCTGACTGCATAATTTGCTTATTTATTGGGTTTGTTGTCTCCACCTTTTAGAACACAAATTCCCTGGGGTGGGAATGTTGCTCTGCGCTTGCGGTGTAAGCTGTTCCTGGCAGCTGGGCTTCCCCTGGGATGCGACCCAAAAGCAAAATCAACCGGACCCCCGCCTCCATGAAGAATGGGGAGGTGCTGCTAATGGGCGGGGGGCTTCTTTTCCGGGTGGTGAGATACTCTACAATTCAAGTGATGGCTGCATCACTATAAACAGACGAAAATCCATTGAATTGTTCACTTTAACTATATCTTTCTGGCCTCAAAATTTCATCTCTGTGAAAGTGGTTTAAAAGTCCCCGCCTTCAGAGTTTTTGCCGTAGAGAGGAACGCGAGGATGATGGATGTAGCCTATGAGGTGATAGGCATACACGCTGTCAATGCTGGTATGACACCCAGCGTCCTTTTGCCAGCAGTGGTCCCTCACCTAATCTGCCCTCCACTTTCTTCTCTTTTTGCAGGGCCAGTTGAGCACATTTCTTCCCCGAGTTGCCCACGAGAAGCATGCCACTGCCAAAAATGCCCAGCGTGCTTGACCTGGGCCTGGGGACGTGGAACTCGAGCTCCCCGGAGGAAAACTCCAGGGCTCAGGACACCTCCAGCAAGCGGCTGCCAGAGTACAAGGCGGTGGTGGTGGGTGCCAGCGGCGTGGGCAAGAGTGCACTGACCATCCAGCTGAACCATCAGTGCTTTGTGGAGGACCACGACCCCACCATCCAGGATTCCTACTGGAAGGAGATGGCTCTGGATCACGAAGGCTACATTCTGAATGTGCTGGACACGGCAGGGCAGGCCACCCATAAGGCCCTGCGTGACCAGTGCTTGGCGATTGGGGATGGCGTGCTGGGTGTCTTCGCCCTGGATGACCCCTCATCTCTAGCCCAGCTGCAGCAGATGCGGGCCACCTGGGGGCCTCGCCACACCCAGCCTCTCGTCCTCGTGGGCAACAAGTGTGACCTGGTGACCTCCACTGGAGATGCTCATGCTGCTGCTGCAGCCCTGGCGAAGAGCTGGGGGGCCCCCTTCGTGGAGACCTCGGCCAAGACACGACAGGGTGTAGAGGAAGCCTTTTCCCTGCTCATCCAGGAGATCCGAAGGGTCCGGGAGGCCATGGCAAAGGAGGCGGCGAAAGGGCGCGGCGGCCATAAATCCCGACACAAGAACATGTGCCACTGTGGCTGCATCGTGGCCTGAAGGTCTCCGTCAGAGAAAAGCACCAAGCCAAGGGTGATGGCTCCTTTCCACAAGAGCCTCCCAGAGCAACTAGCTGTGTAGGACACTGGGTGTACTGGGGATAGATGGGCCCCTCGCTTGGGGCAGTTTTCAATGGGTGATGGGTTTTTTGATAGAAAAAACAGTGGGGCACTGTTCTGTCAAGTAGAGAGATTTTGTGCATAATTAAATACATGATGTTCTCAGGTTTCAAAGATGCCTCCAAGCCAAGTGTTATATGGGTGGGCATGAGGCTGGGTAGAATATGACTTGAATTGTGAGAATTCTTTCATTTGAAAAATATCGGGCAGCCCACCCCACTCAGAGTGGGAAGGCTGTGAAGGCAGACAAGACACTTAAAATCCCTGCCCTCGTAGATAGGACCTCAGGGTTTGGACAGCACTACAGCGGGTGAAGGGACCACTAGTGACGGGGAGGTCAAGGAAAGCCTTACTGTGTAGGGGGCATTCGAGCAAAAGTTTGTGAGGAACTAGGGGCAGTGGGAATAGCCAGTGCAAAAGCCATAGCCACAAACAGCACCACACCAGCTCCCTCTAACCTCAGGACCCCGGCTAAGAGTACAGGTGGAGTTGCCTCTAAACTCTTAAAACTAAATAAATGTTACTAGCCGACCCACAAGCCTAAACAAAATATATATCCTCTCCTATCTGACAAACACTTTACTAATGACCTAGAGGCCTGGCTCTAATTCCCAACCCCCTTCTCAGAGTCCCAGGCCAGGTGGTGATGGGTTGGGAGGGCTGAGTCCTGGTCTGAGGCCCCCTACCTTGCTCTCCCTGCACCCCCCAGGCTATGGGAAGAGTTCCTGCATGTGCACAGCTAGCCAGCGCTGCTCAGGCCAGAACTCTCCTCTGCCTCGCAAACAGCCTCCCCTTGGTGCTTAGGTCAGACCCCAGAAAATGCTGCTGCAGGCCCTGACCCAAATGAGGCCTGCAAGTGGGGCACAGGTCACTGTCCATGTGCATGCCTCCCCGGTGTGAAGAGGCTTGGACTGAGGTGGGGGGGTTCTGAAGTGCTGGATCGAGGCGGGGAGGGGGGGGCCCTCTGCCTCTTCTAAGAAGGCCATCACCGCCCGGCACCAGTCCCCCCAGAAATCGCCACTCACACAAGAACACAGAGCTGCTTCAGATCTCATTTATTGTGGGGCCAGCGGAGGGGCTGCCGGAGAGCGCGGCGGCCGGCGGGGCTAGGTGCGCTCTGGCCGAGTGCAGGGGTGGGGAGGGGTGCGGAGGCGGGGTGCGGGCCTGGGCCCGAGCCGGCTCTGGATGCAGGCGGTGCTCAGGGAGGCAAGAGGCGGCGCCCCGGCGCCTGGGGCACCGGGGTCTCCAGGCGTTTCACGCGCAGCAGGGCCCCCAGCACGCCCTCCGGGGGCACCTCGGGACCCAGATCCTGGTCAGTCGCGCGGCGGAGGCGGCGCGGGGCAGTCACGGAGTCCGAGTCCGCGCCTCCGGAGAGGATGCGCCCCAACAAGTACCTGCAGGGAAGCCGAGAGGAAACGCAGTGAGGACGCGTTCTCGTGTCGTCGCCTGGACTCCGGGACCCGGACGGCCCAGCAACCCCCTACTTGCTGGGAACTCCAGCCTCCTCCCCACCCAGGCGCCCCCAGCTCGCAGCGATTAGGAAACAACGTTCCCGCCCTAGTCTCCCCTCGCCTCCTTCCTCTCCCTTCCCCCCGAAACCCCTGAGGACCAGCCTCGGAGCCCATTTTGCGGGACCGGAATCCACTGCGCCCCCCTCAATCACTGGGTCTAGGACTGACCCAGTCAGTCTGGCTGCTATGGCCCCAGTACCTAAGTGATCGTGCCCACAGGTAGGCGCCTGCCCCTGCCCGCTCCTTGCCAAGGTACCTCAGCAGCTCGGGGTCCACATCGGGCATCTCGTCGCCCGCGTCCTCAGGATCGGGGCTCGTGGGGACGTCGTCGTACACCGGGGGCCGGGGTCTGAGCGCAGCTGCGGGGGCAGGGGCGGGGACCAGCTGGGCCGCGAGCGCGGCGGGGTCTAGGCGGGCGCGGAGCAGGGCGCGGGCGAGCTGAGCGGCCGGCGCGTCCGGGTCGTCCTCCAAACCCAGAGCCGCGTCGGTGGTGCGGGGCGCGCCCCACACTCGTAGCAGCTGCGCCAGGACGCGCGCCTGCTGGTCCTCAGCCTCCTGCGCCTCCGCCCGCGCTCGTTCCTGCCTTTCTGCCTCCAGCAGGTGCGCCAGCGCCCGCGCCAGCTCCTGCACTGCCCCGACAGCCTCTCCCCGGGGCACTGCCCGCCGGAAACGGCGGGGAGTGCCAGCCTCAGCCATGGGCGCCGAGGCTGCGCCCAGGGTGCGGGGTTCCTGCGGAAAGATGAGGTGGGGGGGGAAGATGTCGTCAATGTCCCTCAGGCCAGGAACCCCAAACCCCGGGATCCATCCCACGGACCGCAAACACCCCTAGATGCTACGAAAGGCACCACGGCCCCTCAAATATATTCAGACACCCGTAAGGCCACTGGAGACTCCAAATATCTCCAGCTACAATGAAGACCAACAAAGATCCATAGGAACCTATTTTTGCATTTTATAGGTTTCTGTTGTCTACTCGTTTCAACCAAAAGGTAGAAGTCGCTACCAAACCATGTTGTTTTTTAATCTCGATGTAGCAACAGATCGATACACTGAGAGCTCGCTCTCTTGCACACGTGCGCGCTCGCTCTCTTTCATAGCGTATTAACCAGCCTCCCATCCATGGCATTTCGAATTTTTTCCTATTCTCGTAACTCATTCTGAAGTGAATAACCTTGTTCATATATGATGTAGCACGTGTGCAAATCTATCTGCACAATAAATTACTCCAATGACTAATTTTCAAATGCAGCCATTTTGAAACAATTTCCATAAGCTTAAAGAAATGGAGGGGCCTCTCTGGTGGCGCAGGCGGTAGAGCGCAGCGCTGTGAAGCAGTCCACGGCTTCTGCAGCGCGGGTTCGATACCGGCCAGCGAGATACCCACACGGCGCAGCAGATCTCTCCAGACTCGCCCACTGCTCCCCTCAGCAGTGTATTTCAGTCAGTCTGCCTGTTCTGCTCCTCACTCTGTCTCTGATGAGCCCTCTCACCCTCCCGCACAGCTAACCTGTATCCAAGTTCTAGTATGAGTAAATAAATAAATCTTTTAAAAAAGAAAAGAAATAAAGAGGGTATTGAAAGTATGAGCAAGGAACAAAAGGCCATTAAAAACGACCATGAATCTTAGGAAAAGAAACATGCAGAACATCTAGAAATATATTTTAAGTGCAATTTAAAACCAAACCAGCGCCTCCCTGGTGGCACAAGGGGTTAAGACGTAACCTATGAGGCTATCCGCAGCCACCACAGCACGAGTTCGATCCCAAGCCAGGGAGGTGACTCACATTGCACAGCAGACCTCTCCTGTCTCACCCGCTGCTCCCCTCAGCAGTGTATTTCAGTCAATCTAATGTTCTGTTCCCCACTCTGTCTCTGGTGAATCCTCTCACACACACCCCACACCTCTGGCCTGTACTCCAGTTCTTGTATGCATAAATAAATAAATCTTTTTTAAAAAGGGAAACAAAAACAGTTACTAAACAATAGGGAAGGCAGTGACCCTCACTAGTAATGTGATAGATGCAAATTAAAATGCCAGTAAGACAGTATGCATAATACAGCCAAAAGATTGCCAAAAATCATTAAATCTGATAATATCCAATGTTGGCATGAATGTGGAAAAATGGAAACTCTCCTACATTGCTCAGGAATTCAACTGGCAAATAACTGTGAAGAACAATTTGGCAAAGTCTAAAAAGATGTGGATATCCTGTGATCTTCTCCTAGGATGTTATCATCTTGAGTAGCTTTGGCACAAACACCAAGTTCATGAAAAATCCCAGCAGCACTGTTCATAATAGCATAAAAGTGGAGGGAGAAAAAAAAAGAGAGAGAAAAGTCAAACACACAAACATGACATCGCTGAGAAAAGTTACACACAATCCAAATAGCCAAATGATAATGCATCTGTAAACCACAATATATGCATATACTCATGATGCACTTGTGGGATAAAATAGTATGCAACAAGGGCCTCCCCTGGTGGCGCAGGGGTTAAAGACAGCACTGTCAAGCAATTGCCGGACACTGCAGCACCAGTTTGATCCCCTGACGGCCAGAGAGCTACCCACATGGCACAGCAGACCTCTCCTGACTTGCTTGCTGCTCCCCTCAGCAGTGCATTTCAGTAGATCTGACGGTTCTGCTCCCTACTCTCTCTGGTGAATGCACTCTCACACACACACACACCCCCCGCACCTCTGGCCTGCACCCCAGTTCTTGTATGCATAAATAAAATAAATCCTTTAAAAAAAAACAGAATGCAACGATAAAAATGACTGAATTATAGCCACAAGCTTTCATGTGGCTGAATCACAAAATTAATGAAGAGGAAAAAAGCAGGTTGGACCATCCCACTGCAGATGGCCTGAAACTACCTGACACCCTAGGGGCTTCCTAGTGACCCCTAGTGAGCATATCCGTGGGGGAAACTAAACAATATATTGTTTAGAGACACATGTGTATGTGGTAAGCTACAAACAAAAGTAAAGGCTCAATAAACAGAAAATACAGGATGATGATGGGCTGCTGTGGGGAGCGGCACCCAGGGTCTTTTAAGTCTTGGTCGTGCTTTTTAAACTGGGTGGGGGATACACACGGGGTTATTTTGTCATTGTTGTTTACACTGAACACATGCTAAATAGACTGTCATGTAAAAAATATTTTAATAATTTTTAAAATCCCCACCCTCGAAGCAGACAGCCCCGAAAAGCTGCAGGAAGCCTTTGCTCCAAGTGCCCTAGGCGCTCATCACCCCTCAGCCCCTCCCATGACACACGCACCCACAACCAGGGCTCACACACACTCACAAGAACTGACAGGCCTTGAGAAGTCACATATGCAGCCCAATAATTCTGAGACATCTACACGCAGGGCACTGCGTGTTCACATACAGGGCTGATTACAGCTGCCAGGCTACCTAGATGCAAGGACGTGCATCGCCCGTAAAGACACAATGCAGCAGCGACTTCATGGCTCCCCTCCCCCACAATGACACAGCTCCACCAAAAAAAAAAAAAAAAAAAAAAAAAAACCCAAACCAAAAAAAAAAAACAAACAAAACAAAAAAACCCAGAGGGAAACAGCCTCAGGAACAAACAAAATTCCCGTCACTCAGTTCAACGGAACCAAAATGGGATGGGTGCGCACGCAGGGATGCAAAGACCACTCCCTCCCAAACACACACAAAATCAGGCACACAGCCATGGAAGACACTCCCATAGGTCGTGCCATCACCGTAAGGATTCAAACACACAAACACGACATCGCTGACAAAAGTTACACACAGAAGCGCCCAGCGTCGCACTCCCACTGCACACCCGGACCCACAACGGCATCGTCGTTGTAACGGCGCTTGGAAGCGCTCGCATCAGAGGACACACACAAGGACACCACACCCTCACGCCGCGGTCATCACATCATGCTTACACATATCGAGGTGCGCACCCCCTTCCAAACCGCGCGCTAGTCCTGCAGACAGCCAGGACTAGCTGCCACCCAAGCCCTGGACCCCGCCGCCCGAACACCCAGAGACCGAGTCTGGTCCCGGGTACGCTGGCACTGCCTGGGCGCCGACGGGCAGCGGGACCCCGGCTCACCCCGGGTCATCTCTGCACGTCCCGGAGCTGGGACTGGCGAGGGTGAGGGGCCAGCAGCTGGGCACCGACCCTCGCCCACGGCATCCTCTCCACCCCCCGCGCTAGACTGGTGTCGCACCTTTACCGGCCGTGCGCAGAGCGCGGGAGGCCCCCGAAGAAAGCCCAATAGCAGCACCACCAAAAGGCCGACGCCCCCGGCCCGCGGCCCGCGGAGCAGCGGCGACCCCGCCATGCTGCCCCAGCGAGCCGGGCTCCGGTCGGGCGGACTGGCTGGCAAATGCGCAGCACCCGGGCTAGCGGGCCAGGTTGCGGGGCTCTGCGGCTGCGCACGCCTGGGAACCCTGCCCACCCCCTCCCGCCACTCTACGCAGGCGCAGCCTTGGGGCTCTGGAAGCCCCTCCATCCCGCCCGTCGCCATGGAGATGCCCAAGGGGTGAGGTGGCGAGCCGCAGCCTGCAAAGGCGGTTGCCATGGCAATCAAAGGGGAGTTGCTGGGGCAACAGACCTTGCTGTCGCCTTGGCAGACAAGGAGAAACGGTTGCAGTGGAGTGGAATGGTCCCTACCTCTCACTCCTTGGGGAGGAGGTATATTTCTTTGCTGGTTGGTACACAAGATAGCTAGCCTGTGATATGACCACGGACAGATCTGGTCACCATTCTAAGGCTCAGTCCCTCCCCTGCCTGCAGAGGTTGCTGGTAACAGCCGGTTCAGAGAGGCTTCCAAGGTTTAAAAAGACAGTCAGTAGGGGGGCCTCCCTGGTGGCGCAAGGAGTTAAGACACAACCTATGAAGCTATGCCCAGCCACTGCAGCGTTCAATCCCCAGCCAGGGAGAAACCCACATGGCGCAGCAGACCTCTCCTGACTTGCCCCCTGCTCCCCTCAGCAGTGTATTTCAGTCAGTCTGCCTGTTCTGCTCCCCACTCTGTCTCTGGTGCATCCTCTCACCCCCCGCACCTCTGGTCTGTACCCCAGTTCTTGTATGCATAAATAAATAAATCTTTTTAAAAAAGACTTTCAATAGGAGCTCACTAAATGCTCCTTTCCATCCTCTCCTTACCTCTTTACCTGTATCTTCAGGGAATAGAGAGTTATCATTGAATAAGTACAGAGTTTCAGTGTTGTGAGATAAATAAATGTTCTGTGGGTGGATGGAGGTGACGGTAAGACCTCATGAATGTATTTAATACCACCGGACTGTATGCTTAAGATGGATAAGATATATCTTACCATCATTTAAAAAACATCAGTGAGGCTTCTCTGGTGGCCCAAGGGGTTAAGACGCAGCACTATGAAGCTATCAGCAGCCTCTGCAGCACGAGTTTGATCCCCGGCTGGCCAGGGAGCAACCCACGTGGCGCAGCAGACCTCTCCTGACTCGCCTGCTGCTCCCCTCAGCAGTGTATTTCAGTCAGTCTGCCTGTTCTGCTCCCCACTCTCTCTGGTGAATCCTCTCACTCCCCCACACCTCTGGCTTACACCCCAATTCTTGTATGCATAAATTAATAAATCTTAAAAAAAAAGAAAAGAAAAGACCTTTTGTTTAGGTGAACGAGTGGGCAGGTGACCAGCCTCAGATTTTCTGGAACTGCTTCTTGGTGCTGGTGGCTTTGATCACCTTGAGCTGAAGCACAGGGTTTTGCTCAGGGGTCAGTTCTCACTCATTGTGACATGTCCCCATCTAGACACCCCTGAAAGCAAGGCGACAGATGCAGCGACATGTTCTTGCGGTACTTCTTGAAGGGGTTGTACTTGGGTTCTCTCCATGTTCATCTTGTTCATTGTACAGGACAGGACCTGCACTTGGAGGGAGACATTACAGGAAAGGGGGCAATTCTTATTGACATAGGTGCCTCGGTGGACTCCTGGGGCATCTTGAAGCCCAGGTGTATGTTGTTGTAGTATCTAGGGAGCTTCTCGCCAGTTTCTCTGAGCAGGACCCTCTTATTTCAAAAGTTGGCTGCTTCTGTTAGGCACATTCAGTCTGAATGTCCACCAACTTCCTGACCACCGCCCCCCAAGAAAAAATGCCAAAATTCTTTGAATCAGCTGTTTGGTAAAAGTAAAATACTAACAAATAAAAGGTGATAACAATACATAAACAAACAAAAAGAAGCTTTTCCTAGAAATTACATCAGTTTAGATGGCTTGGTTAATTTCCTTGGCCAGATCTGTCCACTTCAAAAGGTAAAAGATGCCAATATGAATACTGACAAGATGATATAATTTTTTAAAAAGATTTATCCATTTATTCATACAAGAGCTAGGGCACAGGCCAGAGATGTGGGGGGTGAGAGGATTCACCAGAGACAGAGTGGGGAACAGAACAGGCAGGCTGACAGAAATGCACTGCTGAGGGGAGCAGCGGACCAGTCAGGAGAGGTCTGCTGCGCCATGTGGGTCACCTCCCTGGCTGGGGATCGAACTTGTGATGCAGTGGCTGCGGACTGCACCATAGGTTGCGTCTCAACCCCCTACGCCACCATGGAGGCCCCAGAATGATATAATTTTGATTCACCTCACAACTTGAATGATTTATCTGATTCGTCAGCATCTGTTTTTTTCCCCCTTTTCACTCCACTATTAATTTTATTTGTTTATTTATGCATACAAGAGCTGGGGTGCAGGCCAGAGGCACCAGGGGTTGGTGAGAGGATTCACCAGAGACAGAGTGGGGAACAGAACAGGCAGACAGACTGAAATACACTGCTGAGGGGAGCAGCGGGTGAGACAGGAGAAGTCTGCTGTGCCATGTGGGTAGCTCCCTGGCCGGCCAGGGATCAACTAGTGCTGCAGTGGCTGCAGATAGTTTCATAGTGTTGCAACTTAACCCCTTGCACCACCAGACAGGTCCCTCCACTATTAATTTTGACTGTTACAGCTCATTACAACCCTCAGCTGTCAGGAACAGGAAATAGTGTTGGAGCAGTTTGCTTTCTTCAGAGATATTCCAGCCTGTTTTCCTGCTACTCCACTGAAGAAATCTGTCCCTCCTGAGGGATACAAATTGCTTTCTTCCTGTGGCAACAAATGACACATGTACTCCCGATACAGTCTGTGCCCCGCTGGGATACTTATCCGCTACTTATGTTGACATGGGGCTAACACCTGCTGAGTGCGCATAAACTTGCCCTCTTTATTCAGGGTAATTGTTCTGGACAATCAGATTTTTAAAAAATATTTATTTATTTATGCATACAAGAGGTGGGGTACAGGCCAGAGATGCGGGGGGTGAGAGGATCCACCAGAGACAGAGTGGGGAACAGAACAGGCAGGCTGACTGAAATACACTGCTGAGGGGAGCAGTAGGCGAGACAGGAGAGGTCTGCTTTGCCATGTGGGTTGCTCCTTGGCCTGCTGGGGATCGAACTCTTGCTGCAGAGGCTGTGGATTGCTTCATAATGTGGTGCTTAACCCCTTGCGCCACCAGGGAGGCCCCATTCAGATATTTTTTAAGATTTATTTATTTATGAGTACAAGAACTGGGGTACAGACCAGAGGTGTAGGGGGTGAGAGGAGTCACCAGAGACAGAGTGGGGAACAGCACAGGCAGACTGACTGAAATCCACTGCTGAGGGGAGCAGTGGGCGAGTCAGGAGAGGTCTGCTGCGCCATGTGGGTTTCTCCCTGGCTGCCTGGGGATCGAACTCGTGCTTCAGAGGCTGCAGATTGCTTCATAAGTTGCGTCTTAACCCCTTGCGCCACCAGGGAGGCCCGCCATTCAGATATTTTAGACTGTCATCTTCCTGTGGGCTGTTTCCATGAAGATACTCAGAGATCAAAACCGAGGTGAGCGTAGGCAACTCAGAACTCCCAGTAGGGAGAGCAGATTTCCTCTTCATGGAGCTACAGTTTCTATATTGGGAAAGGTGGTACCAAACTTGTCTCTGACCTTAGCAGATGTCACAAAAGACTCATATTCTACTCTGGAAGCCCAAAAAATAAGTTTAAATTCATTAGCCAGAACTGTCAAGACCAATCTCAGAGCCCTCATTTCCCTTGGTAGCCCAGTGGGGGTGTAGGCTTTGGCAAACACTTCTTGCTGCACTTACATAGACACCACAGGTCAAATAGAACATTCTGAAGAGGCTAAAAGAAAAAGCCGCTGGGCTCTCAGTCCCAGCTGGACTCCGGGTCGTGTTTCCAGGACCTGACTTGGTCATCTTGGGGTCTGTTATAAGGACTGATTGTCCTCTTGTGCCTGGGAATCCTGGTACGTCTGGCTGATGCATCCTGTCTAGAGTCTCAAATGCCATCGCGCGGCCCTCGTCACGTGGGGGATTCAGCAACTCATCCTGCAGCAAAAGAAGCAGGAGAGACCAGGCCTGGTCCCACCACAGTCAGCTTTCTCTGAGCCGCTCCAGATCAGCGGAATCCCAGCAGTGGTGAAGACCAGAGAATCAGGAGCGTGTGTCCTGTGGCTTCGCCTTATCCCATCATGAAAGAGTGACTCCAGGGCCTCCCTGGTGGCGCAAGGGGTTAAGAAGCAACCTATGAAGCTGTCCGCAGCCTCTGCAGCATGAGTTCAATCCCTGGCCAGGGAGCTACCCACATGGTGCAGCAGACCTCTCCTGACTCGCCTGCTGCTCCCCTCAGCAGTGTATTTCAGTCAGTCTGCCTGTTCTGTTCCCCACTCTGTCTCTGGTGAATCCGCTCACCTCCTGAACCTCTGGCCTGTATCTCAGCTCTTGCATGCATAAATAAATAAATCTTTAAAAAAAAACATGAACATTGTCCACAAATTTGCCAAACCTCCCTCAGTCCTGCCTGATGAATGACTGTTGTTTCTTCACTGCATCCTGTTTCATTCCTCATCCCTTCTAGAGGTGGGTTATTTGGATCTTCCACTGTAGACTTACCCCTGCTTCCTGACAGCATCCAATGCAGGCCAAAATATTGCTTCTTTAACCATCCCTGAGATCATCTAACACAAACCCATTCCTGCAATGTTTTCTGTAAACCCTTTACCTGCCACACACTGTGCTTCTCCACAATGTGCATCCTCTCTCCTTGCAATGAGCTAACAAACCCAGTTTTGTTTAACTACAAGTGTGATTTTCTTTTTTGGTTTTGCCTTGTTTTGTTAAGATTTGTTGTGTTATGAAGTTTGGGGGTTCATTTATTACTGCTGCTGCCACTTTTCTTTAGATCAAGGCAAAATTGACATAAAACATTAAATTGGTTTTGAGACAGGAAGCGTCCAGGACAGGACTCATGGACAAAATTTTGCTGTTCCCACCGGCTAGTGAAG